TGAGGTACTATTTTTGGGTTAGCGGAGTCTGCAACCTGAAGCGTCTGTAACCCGAGGTACCACTGTATTCTTGCTGCAGGCTAATACAGTTCCGCTGTTTTGGAATTATAGGGGTTCCTGCATATAGCAATTAGAATGGGAGACCAGGATTCAAATCCTCACACAGTTATGAAAACCACTGGGTAGTTGTGAAGGTAAGATGGGTGGAAGGAGAGTTATGTACCTAAGATCTCGGAAGGGAAGGCTGTAGATCAGTGCAATGCAATGCAATGCAATGCAATACATACAGCAAGAACAACAACCACCCAAACTTCGGGATTATGGGTTGTTGTAGTGTGCATATGCAGCTTTTCATTTCATTATCTTCAGGTCTTCATAGCTGGGGTGGGTGGAAAACAGTTCTAAGATCCACCTCTGGAAAGCAACTGGGGAGCATAATACAGTGGTACCTTGGTTCTCAAACGCCTTGATACTCGAACAACTTGGAACCCAAACGCTGCAAACCCGGAAGTAAGTGTTCTGGTTTGTGAACATTTTTTTGGAAGCTGAACATGCTCCATTTTGAGTATTACGCTTCCGATTTGAGCGCCACACTTCCGATTTGAGTGTTACGTTGAGGTCTGTCTGTTTTTTCTATTTAATTTGCGTTTTTGCTTTTGCAGCTCTTTTTTGTTTTGTTTTTGCAACTGTGTGGAACCCAGTTCAGCTACTGATTGATTGATTGATTGATTGTGTGACTGCAGTACGTTGTTGATTGCTTTCATGGATCAATGGTCTCGTTAGATAGTAAAACTCGTGTTAAACTGCTGTTTTAGGGATTGTTTTTAAAAGTCTGGGATGGATTGATCCATTTTGCATTACTTTCTATGGGAAAGCGCGCCTTGGTTTTGGAAAGCTTTGGTTTTGAAATGGACTTCTGAATGGATTAAGTTTGAGAACCAAGGTACCACTGTAGTGTTCTGGTGTCAGTGCAGCTCTATTGGAAGATGGCAGGACCAAGATATGTCACTCCATTAAGACTTAATTTTCAGCCTTCTGTCCTGTCACCCTTAGCTTAGAAGAACCACAGTGTCATGTGCTTGGTCTGAATGTGCTTTGGCTTCTATTCTTATTTTTCTGGTATCAAGAAGGAAGGCATGATGTGTTGCTCTTCCTCTCCACTTTAGGAAAGATTGGCTTGCAGAGATTGGCATGCGTTATTTCTCGGCATGTAGAGTGTGTGTGTGTGTGTGTGTGTGTGTGTGTGTTGTTTTATCCCCAAGGTTACTTAAATGAAAACAAAGCCTCCTCTCTTCTTCTGGGGTTCATGTGTTCTTTGCCCTTGCCTGACATGCAGATAACCATCGACTTGCTGCTGTTGAGCAAATTAGAGGCCGCCGTCAAAGGCTTTGGGCTCAGATTCAATCTCGTGTCCTGGGTCATTCTCCTTTCTGCAAACGGGATGTGCATTGTTAAGAAAAGTATAATTGAAATTACTTCTGGGAGGAACGTCGGAAGCCGCCTTTGTCACCCAGGCTTGCACTAGGTGGTTGTTGCTTGCAAAGCACAGTGCTGCAGGACTTTGCAAGCACCAATAATCAGTGGACTGGCAGGGCTTGCCAAGTGCGGTGCAGAAGGGCTTTGGCCCAACCTTGCTTTTACCTGCTAACAGCTGGGCATATATCACATCAGGTGCAGAGCAGGTAGACCTGGATTGGTTAAAGTGGGCAGAGGGGTTGTGGTTCTCAGCAGCTGGTATTTAGAGATGTTCTGCATCCCAACAGTAGATGTGGAGCAAAAAAAAAAAAAAGGGAGAGGGAGGAGACTCAGGGAAAGCATCACTGTGGGTTCTGATGGGGCCCTGGCATTCGACCAAGGTTCCCTAGTGCTGATTCTGGTCCTCCTTTCTATTAAAACATCTGTCCCCCTTTGCAAGTTGTCATGCTTGCTCTTGCTATTTCAAAGAAAGAGAAAAGAAAATAGTGCGCTCTCCTCTGATGTTCTTGGTCCTGTCCCCAGTGCAAGAACTGTACACTAACTGGTTATGGGAGTCTGACTTTTTATTTATTTACTTGGCTTGCTTACAGCATTCATAACTTGCCCTTTAGCCAACAAGGTTCTCAGAGCAGCTTACAAAAAGAACCACTAGGGTGGTCCCTGCCCTCAGGCTCACAATCTAAAAGGACACGGCACAAGAGGAAGAGGGAAGGGGCAGGAGGAGGAAAAAGCAAGCTCAGGCACTAGTTCTGGACAGCTGATGTCATTGGTGGTTCTAGCTACCTTTCCATTGAATAAAGAGCAGTCCTCCCCTTGAAGAACTCTGCCTACTCCAGATTTAGGTCTGGGATCAGAGCAGGCGATACCCTCCAGACAAGGAGGATCAGGGCAGTTCTTCCAACAGAGTTTTCCCTCATGGATTGCTGCAGCCTAAAATAATGTAAGGGCAGGGACGCGGGTGACGCTGTGGGTTAAACCACAGAGCCTAGGACTTGCCGATCAGAAGGTCGGAGGTTCGAATCCCCGCGACGGGGTGAGCTCCCGTTGCTCGGTCCCTGCTCCTGCCAACCTAGCAGTTCGAAAGCACGTCAAAGTGCAAGTAGATAAATAGGTACTGCTCCGGTGGGAAGGTAAACGGCGTTTCCATGCGCTGCTCTGGTTCACCAGAAGTGGCTTAGTCATGCTGGCCACATGACCCGGAAGCTGTACGCCGGCTCCCTCGGCCAATAAAGCGAGATGAGCTGCCAAAGAGATCCGGCCTCCAAGGAGCGCCACAGATGATGTTGCCACGGTGGCAGCGGGCGATGCATTTCTTGGAGGCTGGATCTGCTGCCCCTATGGATCCTGCCACCTGAGGCGGTTGCCTAACCTGCCTCATGGTTCGGCCGGCCCCGCAGTTGCACCAATTCACTCAGTTCTGGCAGCAAAGGTTCATAAGACCAAATGGCTGGGCTGGTGTGGATGGTATGGTATTGCTCACAAACACTCCAGCTGTGCCGCTGACGTGCAAGGAGGGTTTGCAGACTTGTGAGCAAGAGAGGCAAGCGAGGGCAGGGCTCCTCCAACCCAGGACCATGGCAGGGCTGCTGTGGTTTTTCAGAACAGCAGACATGGTAAATCCTACCAGATGTGGCTTCCCTAGCAGGGGTATCCAGCCCTAAGCAGTAACGAGCAGGTGAGGGAGCTGAATTGTGACTGTACTGATTTGAGCTAACCAGCCAGTTCTTTGGCCTCAGGCTTCTAGTATATCTTGACTGCTCCACTGGGTACTCAGTGGGTTGGGGTGTTTATGCAGAGAGCATGCTGGAGTTCGGAGCAAAGGAAAGTCCAAAAGCTTTTTGCCAGGAGCCGGCAGCTATAAAAATGGGAGTTTAATGTTTTCATTTATCTCCCCTACTGCTCCCACTCTTGCACTAAATCCCTAGTGCAAGAGTGGAGAACATTTTTTTTGCCGCATTCCACCCTGGGTGGCAGCGGGTGGAGGGCACATACTGGTACTAATGGTGGGTGGGTTTTTCATCCTTGCCTGGGCTGCTGCTTATCTGGTTGCCCATACCTAGGACTGCTGGTTGACTGTCCTGTAGCACTCATCCTGCCTTGTCCTTGCCCAAAACAGGACAACAGATTCCCCATCGCTGCAATACTCAGACCGCTTCCACCACTGAAATCCATTTGTGATGCACAGCATGCAACTAAACCTGCTCAGTTACAAATGGCGATAAGAGTAGGGGTTTTTTTTTTTTTTTTAAGGAATGCCAAATAATGCTACCTCTCAGGCTGCAAAGTTCTGCTCCCACAGATGACGAAAAACACAGATGAAAAGGGAAATGTAGAAGAAATCATTTGTCCGTCGGTTCATTCCCTCATGGGTTACAGAAAGCCAAGACGTGTTAGCTTGCGCTGATGTGGGGGGGGGGGGGAGAGGCTGGTTACCTTACTGATGGCTGAGCGTGTTCTCTTTATTTTTATCCTGACAAGCCTTTTTGTGCTCCAGGGCATGTGTAAGAAGAATTAAATGCAACCCGTCAGAGTCCTCTGCAGGTTAAGAGACAAGAAAGATAGTGCAAAGGGATTAAGGATTAAAAGGTGGCAGGGAAGCAAGCTACAAGCAAGGGTAGAATTGGTCTCTTCCGCCAGCTAAATATTTATGAGGGGCTGCCTTGGATGATTGCAAATACTTCCTGAGGTTTGTGTGGGGGAAAACATCAGAGGTCTGATTTGCTGGCTTCCAGGGAGTTAGCCCAAAGGTACAGAAGAAGTGATTTCTGCCCAACGTACCACATTTGCAAATAGGCGGTAATAATATAGGGGAACTTGGGGCCCTAGGAGCCAAATTCACTCCTCCAAGTCTCTCTGTCTGTCCTGCAGGACTTTTCCCCAGGCCACACTCCCTACACACTTGACTGGCCCTGCTTCACACATACCTTGAGTGGTTTTTCCCACTTGGAATGCATCCTTGAACTCCGATAATGCCTCTTCCTTACCTGGATGGAGCCTAGAGGGGTGTGTGTGTGTGTGTGTGTGTGTGTGTGTGTGTAAATTAGCCTACTGTGCAAATGTGAAATTTACATTCATTGCTCCACCCACTTTTGCTTCTAGCCCTGCCCCCTACTGGCATGTGGCCCCCCAGAAGGGAATGTGGCCCTTTGGCTGAAAAAATTCCCCAGCCCTGATTTAGGAACAGAGGTCATATTGGCCCGTCCAGTTCAGTATTGTCTATATTACAGGCATGGGCAAACTCGGCCCTCCAGATGTTTTGGGGCTACAATTCCCATCATCCCTGACCACTGGTCCTGTTAGCTAGGGATCATGGGAGTTGTAGCCCCAAAACATTTGGAGGGCAGAGTTTGCCTATGCCTGGTCTATAACAGAGTTCCCCATTCCTGCCGAATGGTATTCTTTATCAACATAAAATTTTAAAAATGCAGTAATAGTAATCGAAGTTAGAAAACATAGGAGCAATGCACAGGCTGTGTTTTCCAAACGGAGAGCATATAATGTAGAAGAAGAAGAAAACAACCAAGCTTATTGTGAATGCACCATTTGTGAATTATTTCCTTCTGCAGTAGTCAGTGACCACATATTCTTGTACCAGAATGAGCAGTTTTAAGTCCTGTAGTGTCTTCCATTTCTGGGCCAGCATCCACATACAAATTCCCTTAGACCAGAAGCTTACTGTTTGATCACCTCACAAGTTCAAAAGGACAAGTTGTGGGGAAACTTGAAAGGGGCATTTCGTTTTTCATTTTCACTTCTGCAAAAAAGTAATATAAAATAACTTTAAAATAAACAACATATCAAATAAAGTAATTGTCAAGGCTGCCTCAGGTCTCAGCTCACAAAAGACCAACGCCAATCTCTTCTTATATACAAAAGTGTTTATTGCAGTTCATTGTTAGCTTCACATCCGAGGCGCGCAGCCCCACGTCTGTTACGCTTAGACCGTTGAAGTCCCCTCTGAGTCAGTCCCTCCTCTGCACCAATTTAAGAGGCTTGCGCTGCTCCACCTCTTCCTCTCTTTTCTTTTCCGCAGGGTCTTCCTGCCCGCTGGGGTTTCGCCCCTCCTGGATTCCCCTGACGCGGAATCCCCAGACTGCTCTTCCCCCCTCCTGCGGGCTTTGGGACCTGGCCCCTCCTCCGGGCTCCCTGTACTTCCGCGCGCCTCTACATTTGAACTTGGCGCGCGCGCCAACCTCTAACCTTCCTTTTGACAGTTACACTACTCCCTTCACTACTCCCCTCCCCTTCCGGGAGGGTGGCTTGCTCCGACCTCCCTCCTTTCTCTGCTGCTGGAGCTGCTTCCCCTGATAAACTAGAACCTCCACCCCCTTCGCTGCACTCTGGCGGGGAGACTGGTCCTGACGCCCAGCTGCCACTTTGGGATCCCCCGCTGGCCCCCTGCTCCTGACACGTCCCCCCTGGGGCTCCCCTGGCCTTGACCACCGGCGCCCCCTTCTGGGAATCCTCTGATTCGCTGGAAAGACTCATGGAATCTCTTGAGTCATTGTCATCCTCTTCCTCGCTGTCCTGAGATTCTTCCCCATCGCTCTCCATCTCCTGCCTACCCTGTGCCTCTGTCCCTGAACCCCTGACAGTAATATTCAATAATCCATTGGAATATAATAACCCACAATAAAATTAATTCTTAAAATATTAGCATATAATAATTAATTAGAAATTCACTCTTTGCAATTGCAATACTATCAATCTATTTATCTATCTATCTTCAGAACCATCAGTCCAAAATGCATATTTAATTGCACAAGTGAAGAACTGGTAGCAGGAGGCAGACTGTAAAACTGTTCCCTTCAGCCCCGGACAAGGCTAAAGGCCAAGGATATTGGGAATTGTAGCTCAGCAATATCTGGAGGGTCAAACGTTCTCCCACATCCGATTTACACTGCATAGGGGCCTGGCAAGAGGCTCTTCTGCTCCCAACACACTCCTGTGGGAGCCCTGGAAGTGAATCAGCCCTTGCGAGTAAAGGAGGGGTGGCCGTGCACTTTATATGAAAAGAACACTTCTCTTTTTAATGCGTTCTTATTTGTTCTGCCACTTAATTTAGCGAGGAAAGCTAGTCCCACCACGCATGGCTTGGCAGGCAGGGTTAGACAGAAGGCTCCCTAACCAAGCAGGATCAATAGAGACAAAGGCTGATTAAGACTATGCAAGTAATGGGGCATGCCTTGCGCGTTCCTTTAAACACTCCTGCCGTTCCCCTTTGGCGGACATTGTTCCCTTTGCACTTAGATTATCTTTAATGTTAAAGGAATCCAATTCCGTCATGTTAAGTTTGCCCTGCGGAGTGGAGTGCGAATGCAAGATGCCGACTGCTTCAAAGGCACAGGCACGCTTCAACCTCCTTGTGGCTTTTTTTGTTTTGTTTTGTTTTCAGTGGAGGTTTATTAGAAGGGCTGTTTGGTTTGCAGAGGGTCGAGAACTCCCAATTTAATTTGGAGGAGGAGGCTGTTTGCCAGAAACGGAGAGAAGGAATAGGGTGGTGGTAGAGCACATGCCCTGGTTCGACGACCCCTGGAATATTTGGCTAAAAGATCTGCTGCTGGGAAAGGCCTCTGACCAAGACCCTGCAGAGCCACTGTGTCATGAGCCCCATGGAGGAGCCATGGAAGGGATGGCCCAATCCTGAGGATGGGTGGGAGGAGCTCAGAGAATTGGGGCTGGGCAACCCAGGAGGAAGATCCTAGTGGGTTGGGGAAGCCAAAGCAGAACCCCAAGAACATGTCTGGGCCTGAGGAGGGGACTGGTGAGGCAGGGCGTAAGGAGCTGGATCCAGAGGGTTGGTAGCGAAGTGTTCCTCTCCTTAGATATTGGATTCCTCTAGCCAGGCATCTGTCCTGGACTGGCTGGATGCCGAGGAGTGGTGGGAGGCACAGGCTGGGGAACCTCCAGGGGAAGAAGGCTCGGATCCAGGGGAGTTGCGAAGGGACGGCGATGAGTGGTCAGAGAGGGAAGAGGGAGCAGGCTGGGAAGAGGATGTGTTGGAAGGAGAAGAGGTAACAGGGTTTTGTGAGTAGGGAGAGGCTGTGGCAGAGAGCGGTCCAGACTTAGAAGCAGGAGAGGAGGTGGACCAGGAGACAGAGATGAGGCAGGCTGCTGTGACCAGCTCTCCTCCCTGCAGAGGAATGATGTGGGTGGAGCAAAGAGAGACAAGATGAAAGAGCCTCAGGTTGCTGGGGAAGAAACCAGGGGAGGAGCCTTAGAGAGCAGTGGGAAGGAGGGACCTTCAGTCCTCGCAACTGCCTCATTGGAGCAAAACCTACTGGGAAGAGTTGCTGCTTTGGTTTCTTTGAATAAAGTGTTAACTTCACCAACCCCGGGTGTTTTATTGCTGATCTGCAGCAGACTCCAGACCTCCTGTCAGTGAAGGGCCTTGCCCTTATTGGGGAGGTCAGTCGGGTACCAGTCAACTCTGACTACACCGCTGTCAAACAGGAAATGGTAAGACCAGCATAAACAAACTCCACAGGTTCAACCCACTCGGAGGAACGCCTGTTCACTTGCCCAGTCCCAAGACTCCAGCCAACTCCAAAGGAAGGGCATGGCACTGTTGGATCAGCATCTTTCTTGCGCTCAGCCAATGCCATTCACCTGCTGGACCTTGCAACGCTTGCCTATGTATCCATCTGATTTACACATTAAAGATTTCATCAGAAACAGGACTGCAAAATCATGCTGTTTATCTGGCAGTGCGTGCTAGGATGCCCTGCTTAGCAAGAGCAGGTGATACTGGGCTAGTCAAGCGGTGCAGAACTTCTGGCCTGCGGGCCAATCTTGAAACAATTCCCAAAGCTTCCAGGCAACAGGGATGTACTGTTAAACCACTCTGAGAATTGTAGCTCTGTGTAGGCAGTGGGGGTCTCCTATCAACTTTTCAGCGCCCTTAACAAACTGCAGTTCCCAGGATGCTTTGTGGGAAGCCATGTCTGTTTAAAGCAAAGTGGGTATACATTTTTAAATACAGTGGTACCTCGGGTTAAGTACTTAATTCTTTCCGGAGGTCTGTTCTTAGCCTGAAACTGTTCTTAACCTGAAGCACCACTTTAGCTAATGGGGCCTCCCGCTGCTGCCACATCATCGGAGCACAATTTCTGTTCTCATCCTGAAGCAAAGTTCTTAACCCGAGGTACTATTTCTGGGTTAGCGGAGTCTGTAACCTAAAGCGTATGTAACCCGAGGTACCACTGTAAATAAAAAGTAGAAGGCAATGTTGTTATAGGATTGGAGGCATCCATAGCAATCGACTTAGCATCCCTTGCAGGCTAACCCTGGGTACTGCTCATCTAGTAGGCCTGCCTTTTATTAATTTCCTTGGAGGGGCTGCTGATTGGCAGTAGACAGGTTGGATTTCCAGTTTACCAGGCAGTTTTGTTGATGCTGGAGCAAGGCCTTCAGCTGGTTATTTTTAGCGCTTTGAGGCTGACTGCCAAGAGGTCATTGCTGCTGCTGCTTAAAATGATTTGGAGTTATTATTATTATTACTATTATTAATGATTTTATTTTGCAAATTCCATTGCTGGCTGTGGAATTTCAAGTGCCAGCTGTCTGTCTTTGGGCTGGTGGATTGTCTTGACACATACTCCCTGTGATTTGTCACCACCAGCTCTAGCTTTGCCTTGGCTGTGACAGACATGCTTATCAGCATCTGACAGGGAGGGAGCGAGCGAGTGAGCAAAGTGACAGGGAAAGCCTCATTACTGGCAGCCTGGGAAACACTAAATTCACATTGAGATTGCTGGCTTCCTCCTCCTTCAGACCTCCACTCTCCGGTAAAGCATATTTCCCCAGTGGCTGCGTCGGCTCTCAACTTCTTCCATCCTTCCTGTTAAAACTCTGACACAACATCCATGGGCACAGTTGTGCCCGCTGCTGCCTCCCATGGTGCTCACAGGAAGGTATCAATAAATATCCCCTCAATAAGTGCATGAGAGACTGTTGGCGCTTCCTGCTTAGCTCCTGTTTGCATTATCTCGGCCTCTCCTGCATGAAATGTAACCCCTTAATCATGCCCACATTTCATTGGGTGCCAGGATTAGACACCCACGCTTCCTCCTGAACAAAAGACAGTTCAAAGAGCTTCACTGTGAGCAAACACAGTGGTGGCTGATGTAGGAGCCTTTTGCCCAGGGGGGCACGCCTTTACCCCATTTTGTGGTCCCATCTCTTTTTCTGTTCCTGTAGATGTGGCAGCCATGTTGTGTTCTGCCATGCCCGGCCAGCAGCCGCTCTGTGTATGAGGCCCACAGCGATCAAAAAATCTAAATGTGTTTGCTGGTTTTAAAAAGATTGGCAGCTCCTGCTGTCTAGCATTTTCCATCCTTCCCTTCTCTTAAGCCTTGGTGAAAGTTATATGGTTTGGCTTTGCCCGTGCAACGCATACCTGCAGTAGCTTTCCACTAATAAAGGGTCCCTTTATTCCAGATGGAATTTCCTTTGTATAAGTACATGGGCTGGCATGAACATTGCATGATGTAACCCATGATGTGACAAGTGCACGTGCAACTCTCTCCCGCATGCATGCAAAAAATACACCACGGAAATCACTAAGCACTTGTGAGATTTACCCATTTCCCTACCCTGACCCAGCCTAGTCATTTCCCCAATGAGTGTCATTTCCAAAAAAATTTGGGGGGTGGGGGAACATGGGCAAGGTACTTCCAGTGAGACTCTCCCACTGAGCGCACCTGTTTTCTCCTTGCCACTATCCTTCTGCTTGTCTTTTTCTCTAGGCCCAGGGCAGCTCTAGATGTTCCTGTTCGTTCAGCATTCTTCCTGGTTTCTTACATAAAGCTTACGGGGAGGTTAGACTTATGTTTGGCATTTGTTGAGGTCTGATTTGTTTCTGAGGTGGTTATGAGCATGGTGTTTACATTCCTTACCGTGACGCGAAGGGCTGATAGCCGCCAATTTAGACAGCTTTAAAAGATTAAATGCATTTGTGGAGGTTGTGTGTGTCAATTGCAAATAATCGTGATGGTTATGTGCTCCTGCAGGATTAAAAGCAGCATGCCTCTATGAGTTGCTGGAGAACAACAGCAGGAACGGGAATATGATTAGCTTGCAGGGCTGGGCTAGAGAGGCCTTTGGTCTGATCTAGCAGGGATTCCTGCAGGCAACCTGTTGGTTGAGCATTCATCCTGAGTTGCTTGTACACAAGTTGGACTACATCTGGTTTTTACTGAGCGTTTGTTTGCGGGGTCGTTACCCAACAATGGACCTTCATCCTGATTTGCTTGTGGGGATGTTTACATGTTTTCCTGTTAATCATTCATTCAGCCCACGAAGTTTCATTATATTTCCCCCCACTTTTCGATTGGATTTGTTCCACGAGGGCAACAAAATCCTTTTAATCCACTTGCACTGCGCAAACCTAAAGTGCTGGTATGCGATTGAATCCCTCCTGCGAAATAATGACAGTCTGGAGGCACCCTGGGTTGGCACTACCCCCCAGAGAGCAAGACAGAGAGAGAAAGAAAAGGAGGGGGAGGACAAGAGGTGTGGCGGTTGCTGCTCCTACAGATGGGTGAATATATCAATTTCAGCTTCTCATTTTTTAGTTCTTAAGTTCAGTTTCCCACATTTTCACATCAGTGCATCGTTATTTTAAGAAGTCCTCATGAAAATTAATCAGCATTCTAATGTACATTTATATTTTTTGCATGCACTTTTGCCTCAAATAATACACTTTACATGCTGTTTTCATGAATGCACATTTTTAAAATGCACACTGATATATGCATTTTTTAACAGTGTGATGCAGCAGCAAAAAAAAAAGGTGACATCAACAGAAGTATGGTGTGCTAAGTACCAGTACCACTCTGTTCTCCTTTGGTCAGACCCCAGGTGGAGTTCTGGGTCCTGTTCTAGGCTCCACAGTTCAAGAAGGATATTGACAAGTTGGAATGTGTGCAGAAGTGGACAACCAAGATGGTTATGGGTCTGGAAGCCAAGAATTATGAGGAACGGTTGAGGGAACTAGGTATGTTTAGCCTGGAAAATAGGAGTCTCAAAGTGGCATGATAGCCATCTTCAAAGATCTGAAGGACTATTATCACATGGAATATGGAGTTGGAATCCATCCAAACTGGTGGATTCAAATTACAAAAAAAGGTTGTTGTTGTTGGTGTTTTATATTTATTTATACCCCACCTTTTCCCCTTACGGGACGGGTACTTACAGATAAATATAAGAATTGCTAAAAACATAGATTCTGACTAAATATTAGGAAGAACTTTTTGAGGGAAAGAGCTGTTGGGCAGTGGAACAGAACACCTCAGAAGGTGATGGATTCTCCTTCATTGGAGGTTTTTAAACAGAAGTTGGGTGACCATCTGCCAGGGATAATTTAGCCATGATTCTGGCATTGCAGGGAGTTGGACTAGGTGACACTTGCGATCTCTTCCAGCTCGACGGTTCTGTGGTTCTAAGTTCAAATTTGTCAGGATGGCTGGGTTTCAGTTCCTGCATTGTTTTGAAAAGTGCAAACCAATTCAGCTTTCTATCCCCACTCCTAGCTACACTCTTCCACTTGGGTGGGCTTTGGCAGGTGCCTGGTGATGCCTGCTCCCTGCAACCCCACTTCTTATGCAAGGACTTGCTTGTTCAGCCCCCCCCCATGTGAAAAATCATGCCCTGTGGCATGTCAAGCTATTTCCCTACTGCTTTTCTTGTAACGTTCAAAGAAGTAAACAATATAACAACGCATCACCATTGAAATACAAATCAGCCCAGAAGACTTCAGAGAGAAGGCAGTCCATGTTCCCAGTGTGTCTCTTTGGATGCACAAATTCACTCTTAGCCTTGCTGTCCTGGGAAGGAAAATAAAATACTTCCCCTGCCCCACAATGATAGATGCTTTATTGTAGCAGTAAACAAACCTATGAAGTCTTACATGGGTTTCTAACACTTTAGTTTGAGGTATCATGCTGCTTCTGCAATGAATGTTCACAACTGTGCTCTTATTATTATTATTATTATTATTAGTTTAAATTTTTCAGTTGAATTGTCACGGGCTACACTTTTTTTGCATTTCATTGTCTTTTTAACCCACCGCTGACATTTTCTCTCTCTCTCTCTATATATATATGCACAGACATCTCTCTCAGTATATATGCACACACATACAGTCTTGCCAGCTGAGGATAATATTTATTACATCAGATGTTTGTTTGTTTGTTTCTATACTACTTTATATTTTTAATAAAAATCTCAAAGCGGTTTACAGCATATCAATCAATCAGTCAATCAATCAATCAATCAATCAATCAATCAATAAAACAATAGCCGGGCGATGTTCCTCCGGCCTCATGAGGAGCCTCTTTTGTAGGGCTGGTGAGTGTGAGCCTGACCCCCTAGGCCAGGTGGAAAGCGCCTTGCAGGGAGCGGCCTTGCAGCCGGGCGATATTCCTCCCTGCTGCTGCTGCTGCTGCTGCTGCTGCTGCTGCTGCTTCTTCTTCTTCTTCTTCTTCTTCTTCTTCTTCTTCTTCTTCTATCCCACCCGTCTGGCTGGGTTTCCCCAGCCACTCTGGGCGGCTTGCAGCACATAAAAAATTGTAAAACATCAGGCATAAAAAAAATTCCTGATACAGGGCTGCCTTCAGATGATGTGAATTCTAGTCAATGAAAGCTTATGCCATAGTAAAGTTGTTGGTCTTTAGGGTGCCACAATGTCCTTTGTTATATTTGCTGTAACATGCTATTATCACGACGACCCCCCTCTAGATGGCATACCATATATGGAAGGCAAGATACATCTGTGTCTGTTATACAGTAGAACCTCTACTTACAACTGCCTCCACTAGTGGACATTCCAAGTTGCGACCACGGCAAACCCGGAAGTAACCGGCAGGCTTGCTGCCATTCGCGCATGCGCAGAAGCGGGCAATCGCCGCCTGCGCACAACAGCGCCTCTCCCAGCGACCCATTTCGCCATAAGGACGGGTCTCCGGAACGGACTGTGGTCATGAGTAGAGGTTCCACTGTATATAGCCCCATACCTGTTGAACTTCTAGGTGCAACCCATAGCCTTTTCCCCATGTTCATCTGTTATGGCAAAATGAACAGAGGGGCTTGAAATACCTTGAAAGCTGCAAGATGCTTTGTTGGTTTTCTTGTATGGTTACACTGGGACCTGCTTTTTTACCTGCCAAGCTTTACTGCCTGGGACAGCTGCTGTATTGGCCCAAAGGAGCCATTTATCTCTTTCCAAATCAAACCGAAGTTTGCTGTTGCTGAAGATGAGGTTGAACATTTTTCAGCAGGGCTTTTAGAAGATGTGCCAGTCGCTGGGAATCACAGGAGAGTGCTGTTGCGCTTGTGTGCTGCTTGCAGGACACCTGATCGGCCCCTTGTGAGAACAGGATGCTGCAGTAGATTATGGTCCATTGGACTGATCCAGCAGGGGTCTTTCTAGGTTCTTCCCAAATTGATCCCATTTCACTGGGCAGTGGAAGAATTTTGGCAGGCTGGTAATGCTCAGCTTTAAAAAAGCCAACAACCCACAAACCTTTGTTTTAAAAAAGAAAATCCACACCCAATTCTCAGGGGTTCTCTGCTGCTGTCCCCTAGTATGGAATTGCAACCTGCTCATCCTTATTCTCCACAGTTGCCACATGCTCTCCCACTCCTTTCTATCAAGCCATCTCTGGCTCTCATGCATTGGAACAGGACCCATGTGTGGTGGGCTTCCTCCTTCCTTTCTGCCTGTAGCAAGCGCTGATGCTAATCTTTTCTCTGCGTGCTGAAGGGGGATGGAAAATAAATAAATAAAAACCGTGCTTTGCATGGCAGGGGGATTTGATTTCAAAAGACAGGCACTGCTCCCTTTTCCTCTCGTTGGGAAAAGTCCAGATTGCTTCATCTTGTGCGGCATTAATACGAGAGTGCAGCTAATAGGCTTTCCCTTGGGGTGTATGTTACAGGCTGCACAAACGTTCCCTTCAGAGGCTGGCTTAAGAGAAATTCGGTAGCTGCTTCTTGTTAAGTGCATTCCAGCTTCCTTATTTGACTGCGCCACAATAGCAGGAGTTGTGGATATCAGAGCGACCCTGCCAGAAAGTATTGGCGCCAAGGCTCGCATATGCAACTAAACAACCACAGTGAATAGTTTTATTATGCTCCAGGTGTTAAAGAGACCTGCTCTTCCGTTTCTTCTTCAGCTTTCCCCATCACCATCACCTCACGTCTTCTCCCCTGTTTTGCAAAAGGCGGCAGTTCTCAGACCCATTAAGTTACCTCATACAGATGCAGACTCTTTATCTCCTGCGCACAGTACTGTCTGCTCTAACTAGCAGTGACCCCCTTTGGCTGTTCCTCCCCTGAGCATCCTTGGAATGTTCCTATTTTCATCAGAGAAATGTTAGAGGGTATGGAATTATGTGATCCCCCAGGGCAAAGAAATAAGACAAACTTTAGAAGACATCTGAAGGCAGCCCTGTATAGGGAAGCTTTTAATGTTTACTGTTTTATCATGTTTTTATATATGTTGAAAGCTGTCTGGAGTGGCTGGGGCAACCCAGTCAGATGGGTGGGGTAATAATAATAATAATAATAATAATAGAATAGGATGTCCCTATTTTCATCGGAGAAATGTTGGAGGGTATTGTATACTGCCTACATGTACACGTTTAATATTATTTTAACATCTCTAATTTTAAACTGTCTGAGACTGATCAGTTTTAGCTTGCACTTAGACTTTTGAGGGGGCTAGCTTTGTTTGTGTTTTTTCCTCCTTGCATTCTTTTGAATTTGCATATGTTTGTGTGTGTGTGTCATATATATTGCATAAATATATATCTATATTGGCACTATGGGTGGCGTACCTGGGGTGAAATCACAGTAGCACCTTCTGCAGCTGTGTTATCACCATCCCTGTGTTTGATCCCACTTTTCCTCTAAGCAAGGTTGGTTGCATTGTCCCCATCCCCCCCAGCAATAATCCTGTGGTGTAAGTTAGGCTGAGAAACACTGACTGGCCCAAGGTCATCCAGTGAGCCCCATGGCTGGGTGGGGATTTAAACCCTGGTCTCCCAAATCCTAACCTAACACTAACCACTACACCACATGCTCACAAGCTGTGCATCATAGTAGGCCGGCCGACAACAAAACCATAGCTTGGGGTGGGGGGCAGAGGAACCCAAAACCTGGCAGGCCAATGTTGAGAGTTCTGATGGGCAGAACCATGACAGACTACAACAGCAAAAGCCTTTCAAAATCTGGATTTTACTACTCCCCCCCCCCACCATATTGTTTACCCAAAAACCATATTGTTGACCTAAAACCATACTGTTTTCCTAAAACAGACTACAAGTCACACACATAGTAAACTTGTTCATTATATGAGCAAAACAATTTACTGGAATCTATTTTACAACGGTCCTTGTCATAATTTAAATACCAGCTGTGACCATGTACTGAGTCCTGTAGCCACAACATTGTTAATAGCAAGCTTAAATATGTTGGCTGCCTCAACGCTAACGGAGAAATTTGTCCAGAATGCGCCTTCCCTTTCCTGTCACTTATTTTTGGAGCTGCTTTGCGTTTGTGGCGTTGTTTGAGCTTGGATTTGCCCGATGTGTGGCTATCAGTAGAAGGAGCTTGCACCCTCCCGAATCTTGGAGAAGGAGAACACTTTGTCCTTTGTTTGCATACTATCCTCCTGAGAACAAGCCAGTTCTGTGTTTTGGCATGCCTTTGTGCTTTAGTATTCATTGCTGCTGTTCCATGCATCAACAGAGAACAAACAGAAATTCCCTTTTTCCAGAACACTCGCCTTACAATCCGGAGGAGACGTTAACGGGAAATAGGAACATAGGAAGCTGCCTTATACCGAGTCAAACCATCGGCTCACATTGCTTTGCATTATTTACGCTGACTTGACAGTGACTGTCCAGGATTTCGGACAGTGATCTCTCTCAGCCCTACCTGGAGATGCTGGGGATTGAGCCTGGAATCTTCCACACGCAAAAGCTGCAGCCTTTCCCCCAAACTTTGAGAGGAAGAAAGTTGCAGTGTTTCCCCCTCTCTGTAACAGAATCCTCAGATAGGGGACAAAGAGGGAAATAACCTTCCCCTATGTTAATCAGACAGCAAAACAACAATGTTCAGGGACTGTGGAACTTTTGATCAAGTTCCCATTAAGGCAGAAAGCTTGAGTCTGGGCTGCACCAATTTAGACTGCATGTGTCATCTCACATAATGGAATACCCTTCCATAGAAATAATAACCAAAGCACTCGCTGTATAGGCAATTATATGTGCATAGGTAACAGTATGGTTTGGAAACAAAATAAAAAAATTCCTTTCAGTAGCACCAGCTATCACTGCCAGACTACTTTCCTGCTCTCTACATTGTCATCTTTATTCTTATTCTCTTTTCTTTATACATATTATATGTATTCTCTTTTCTTTATACATATTATATGGACTTTCATGTTTGTTCACCCTCTTGCTGCTGCATATCTTTCTGCCCAGGTCCTTTTCTCTATGTTCCTTCATGCTGTCTTCACCTCCCTGGTTCTCTTACTCTCCTTAACAGTGGTGTCCAAACTTTTTTCAAAGAGGGCCAGATTTGATGAAATGGAGGGCTGGCCAAAGGGCCGACCAAAGTTGTTAACTTTTTTTTTTTTGGATTGAAGTTCTTGAGCTTTTTTTGTGATTTTACCCTAAAGTTGTTGAGCTTTGATCAGGGGTGCCCAAACATTTTCCAGAGAGGGCCAAATTTGATGGAGTGAACATGCATGAGGGCTGACCAAAGTTGCTGAGCTTTTTTTAGGATTGAAATTACAATTTTACCCAAAGTTGTTGTTAAGCTTTTTTTTTTAGTTGCTTAGCTTTATTTTTAAGATTTAACCCCCCAAGTTTTTGAGCTTTTTTTAGAATTGAAGTTGCTGAGCTTTTTTTTAGGATTTTACCCCAGGAGATATACTGCCACGGGGGCCAGATTAAATCGACCGGCGGGCCAGATTAGGCCCCTGAAACAGACTTTGGACATGCCTGCCTTAAGCCCTAAGTTACCTTCTCATGGTACAGTTCTATATGTCTCTAATCAGAAGTTGAGTTCAATGGGACTTTCTTCCAGGTATGCAAGACAAGTGTAGCCTAATTTTCCTGAAGTTCACCAGCATAGCTCCCTACCATTGGAGTGCATTCCTTCCACTCCTTCTGCTGGTGTATCTGATAAAAAAAAAGACTTGCCTCTTCACTCTTCCAATTAACTGAGCTCACCTTTGCAGCATAGCACTTTCAACTTGCAGATCTGCAAGTCCCAGAGCAGTTTAACGTAACCATCACTCCCTCTTCCCGGAGAATGCTGTGAACTGTAACTCTGCGAGAGGTGTCTTCTACCGACTCTCAGCTCCCTTAATAAACTAAAGCTCCCAGGATTTTTTGGATGAAGCCATGACTTGTTTACAGTGGCATGACGCCGCTTTAAATGTATAGTGCAGTTATAACCTGATTTCCTCTCTCCCCACCTTCCTTTTGGGGCTGCAGTAGCTAGATACCTTTACTTGGTAAGTCTCGCTGAGCTTGGTGAGACTTGTTTCTGAACACATATGCATAGGGTTGAGCTGCTCTTTAGACTGTAAACCTGAGGACAGGGCATGTGCCCCATTTTCCCTTTAGATACACCACCTAGTTCTTTGCAGGCACTCCAATAGGGCTTTCTTAAGAGTACCCACTGTGTTGTCTGTGATACGTTCTTAGACTACAGTTCCCTTCCACCCTAGTCAGCATGGCCAGGGGCCACGGATTATGGGAGTTGTAGTCCAAGAACCACCTGGAAGGCAACACGTTGGCTGTCTCTGGTCTACCCTGTTGTGTCCCTTCCTAATCTTGCAGTTTCCTTCCTTTGGTCCTCTAACAAGAAGAAGAAGGAGCAGCAGAAGCAGCAGCGATAAAAGCCCACAAACCTCCTCCCCTGTTAAGCGGCAGATTAAAGTCTAGTTTGAGGTTCTGTTGGGAAAGGGGAGGGGATGAGAGGAAGGAAATACCTTTTGATTCATGTATTTATCATGCTGCCTCCAGCCTCTCTCTCCTCTCTGCTTACAAAGAGCAGGCTGGCTTTAAAAAGAAAAGTTGGCCTTGGTGTGTGTGTGTGTGTGTGTGTGTGTGTGTGTGTGTTTAAGCCTTTAAGAGCATAGTTTCTGGCTGCTGATAAAGCAGAGACCGCTCCTTTGAACTTCACAGTGCATGGTGGTATTTGTACTCACAAGCCTTCGTGTTTACATGGCCCCTGGCCAATCGTTCATAGATACCCTCTGATTCTATCCCTGATGCCCCCTATCTCCATTTAAAGCAGCTCTATAAACTTCCCTTGTTCAAAGGGATCCTTTAATCTCTCCATATTTGACCCTGACACAGACCCGACCCCGCCCCCCCTGCTTTTGCAGGGTTTGTTTTTTATTGTTTGGAACCGCGGGCTCCTGTCTCCCCAGCGTTCTCCTCCCAGTTGTAATCATTGCGCCCCAGTGTCCACTCGGAAGTTGGTGGCTCCTTGTGCGTCAAGTGATTAAGATTCACAAAAATTAGAAGCGTTGTCCTGGGGGGAGGGGGAGGAACCTGCACTTGGAAATACTCAAGCCAGCTCTCCTAGCCTGTTAGCAAAGGGAGGGATGCATTTGCCAGATAAGGCCCACTTAGTTGCTTAGCAACAGGCTCAGCCGAGATGGAGATTGGAGAAGGAAGGCCTGCTGGGCCCACTTACAGAGATTCTCCTTGGACTGTCAATCTGGAGAGGCAAACTTGGGCAAGTTTATTATTACTATTAGTATTTCCCAATTTCATTTGCCCTCCTTGAGGTGATTTTTTAATAATAATAATAATAATAATAATAATACCTCATCAGGCCCAGGCGGGCAGATAGAGAGAGAGCAAGAGAAGGAGCTCGTTATTCACATTTTTAAAAAGGTCTTTAAGAGGGCTAATGCTCTCCGAAGGCAGTTGGTGTGCTGCTGGTTGCGATGTGGGCCCTCCTGAGCACCCGCATTCTGCCCTCCAGGAATGTCAGAATAGGGCAATGAAAAAGCCCTCTGTGGTTTTGTGGTAAGTGGTGTTCCTTGTGTGAAGGGGTTTGGAGGTTTGGGGGTTTTTTTTTGGTGTGTGTATGTGGACCTGAGCCACGGGCTCTATCCCCCAAATTATGTTGTTGTTGTTGTTGTTGTTGTTGTTGTTGTTGTTGTTGTTATATATTTAATTATATCCCACCTTTTCCCCTTATATATTTAATTATATCCCACCTTTTCCCCTTGGTGGGACTCAAGACACCTTGCAGATAAAAATAAGAACTACTGAAAAACAACTGGTAGAGTTAGAACTGTGTGTCTGTCTGTATCGGCATCCGACTGTCTTGGGAGACAATTTCAGGAGTGTGCCTTTGGGGGTGAAGTCAAGCTGTAGGAAGGTTGCAGCGCCTGCTGTAGAGACGGAGACATGTTTTGTTGCAGCTGGGGCAGATGAAGTTGCGCTGGTGCAGATGCACCATGACGTTTCTTCTCTCTGCACTCCTCCCAGCGGTCATTTATTCTCTGGTCCAGTTCTGGGCGCCACAATTTAAAAAGGATATTGACAAGCTGGAACACGTGCAGAGGAGGGCAAGCAAGATGATCAAGGGTCTGGAAACCAAGCCTTACGAGGAATAGCTGAGGGAATTGGGTATGCTTAGCCTGGAAAAGAGGAGGCTGAGAATTAACCATCTTCAAATATCTGAAGGGCTGTTACATGGAGGATGGGGCAAGCTTGTTTCCTCCTGCTCTGGAGGGTAGGGCTTGAACCAATAGATTCAAGTTACATGAAAGGAGATTCTAACTAAACATTGGGGGGGACACGACTTTCTGATAATAAGAGCTGTTTGACAATGGAACGAACTCCCTCAGAAGGTGGCCGATTCTCCTTCCTTGAAGGTTTGTAAGTAGAGGTTGGGTGACCATCTGTCATGGATGCTTTAGCTGAGATTCCTGTATTGCAGGGGGTTGGACTAGATGACCCTTGGGGTCCCTTCCAATTCCAATTCTACAGGTTTATGATTCTGTGACAGCGCTCCCCCCACCTGTGATTCCCAGCAAGTGGTATTCAAAGGCATACTGCCTGTGACAAGCTCAGCTTCACTTACCACAGGAATGAGGGACCTCTGGTCCTCTGACTTTTATGGGACTACAACTCCCATCATACCTGAACATTGGCCTTTCTGGCTGAGGCTGATGACGGTTGAAGTTGAACAATACTTTGAGGAACCAAAGTTCCCCATCCCTTCCTTACAGGAGTGTAAGTGTTGTTTTTTAAAGGATTACATGAGTGATATAATTAACCCCACATTTGCCACCCTGAAGGTAGGGCAGGACACAAATGGGAAAGAGAATCAAAAGGAAAGCTATTGATTCTTCTTCTTCTTCTTCTTCTTCTTCTTCACGTATACCGTAAATCATCCTTCTATCACATGAGTCTCGAGGCGATTTCCAAATATACCATAAAGTAACTAAACATAGTTTCTAAAGCAGTGCAAAAAGACCTAATGGCAGATTTTTAAAGCAATAAAAAGTTAACAGCTGAGGCCTTTTCGTCCAGCTGCAAGAGGTTGCCCAAACGAAAATGTCTCCAACTGTTTCCAGAAAGAACAAATAGCAGGTTCCTGCCATTCCGCAAAGGTTTCACCAAACAGGTAGAGCAGCCACACTGAAATCCCTGCTCAGAGTCGTTGTGAAATTGTCTTCTGATATTTAGGGACTTCAAGCAGAACCTTGCATGAAGTATGCACTGGTATTGGCAAAGGCCAGTTTCTCAGTGGTTGCATATTTTGATTATTTAGTACACTTGTATCTTACACTTCCTCAAACAAGCCCGGGAGAGGGTAGGTGGTTTTCTATCTCCTCCTACCCACCCTGCTTTTAGCGGTTGGCCCAGAGCGGGCTTCCTCAACCTCGGCCTTCCTCAACCTCCAGATGTTTTTGGCCTACAACTCCCATGATCCCTAGGTAGCAGGACCAGTGGTCAGGGATGATGGGAATTGTAGTCTCAAAACATCTGGAGGGCCGAGGTTGAGGAAGCCTGGCCCAGAGTCATCAGGTACCTACGGGACCGCCTCTCCTGGTATGTCCCACAGAGGAACTTACGGTCTTCAAACAAAAAGGTCCCAGGCCACAGAGAGGTTAGGCTGGCCTCAACTAGAGCCAGGGCTTTTTCGGCTGTGGCTCCGATCTGGTGGAAAGCTCTGTCACAAGAGACTAGGGCCCTGCTGGACTTGACATCTTTCCGCAGGGCCTGCAAGACAGAGCTGTTCCACCAGGCCTATGACCAGGGCACAGCCTGACTCCCTCCTTTGGCAGTCTTCACAGAACTCTAGCCCAATGGTTGCCATCAGTTTGATTTGAATTAATTTTATAATGAAATGATTTTAGAATGTTGTATTATTTTATTGTTGTTAGCCGCCCTGAGCCCAGCTTCGGCTGGGGAGGGCGGGATATAAATAATTTTTTTTATTGTTATTATTATTATTAATGCATTCTCTGCTCAGTTCATCAGCTCATAATACTGTGCTTTTACATTGGGATTCTAGTGAACTTGACATACAAAGAAGTCCTCCTGCTGCCATGTAAAATGTAGCCCGTTGCTAGTGGCTGTACCATTTTGCAGGGGCCTTCTGGTCCATCTTGCATGGGCCTGGGAGTTTGTGTAACGCAAGACATTCTCAGGTGGAGAATGGAGTCCTTATACGCAAACACACAGACACCCTATTTCGTTGGAGATGTCTGGCCAAAATCACAATCTTTAATTCCCTAATTAAAGATTGCGATTTTGGCCAGACATTGCCAACGAAATGTTAAGCATCTATGAAGCACTTAGGCAAAATTGGGACTGAAAGCTATACATGGCACCAGCTGGCGTGGTGTTAATGAGACACAGTTGTTCTTCTTGAGAGAGGCTCTTGTAAATCAGTGATTCGAGATGAAGCCTGGCTTGGGGTGGGGCGAGGGAGGGGAGAGAGAGAGAGAGAGAGAGAGAGAGAGAGAGAGAAACAGCAACTGCATGGCAGCTTTGCCACTCTGAAAAGAATAACCTCTGCTTGCTTTCTCTAAAATTGTCGGTCTCCTTTGGCAAAGAAGATTTTCCCTTAGTCCTCCCCGGTGTGCTAATAAACAGTTTTTAGAAGCAGTGTAAGTGTAAATAGAATTTAATAGATGGTTTGGGTTACTGGATGCAGCATGCAAGGCTTTTTAAATGACAGCGGAGTCCTAAAGGAGAGAGCGAGAGCAAGCAGAACCTTGCCCTGTGCCCATCTTTGGATGTCAAGATAACAGCTGGGCGCCTGTGGACACTTACATAGCCATTCTAAAATCACATAGCTTGAAATGGATGTCTGGTAAACAACTGGTAATCTGCTAATGACCCTCAGTGCTTTCCTATTGAATGTGTGCTGTCTTATTAAAAGGCAGTGTGCTAACAACTCTGTAAGAGAATAGCACCTGCAACGGGTAGGCAGGAACTGATATAGCTGCGAAACATTACGTTTCCTTTTCTCTGCTGGAGGTTCTGAGCCAGGGAAGTTCTCAGACGATGCTATCTGCCATCACACCCTGTTTCCAAGTCATAACCTGCCCACATAGCCACTGTGACATCGTCTGGGCAAAACTAGATCCAATGCTCAGCGCAGCTGGGAGTCGGGAAAACAAAATGGCAAAGTTATCCAAATGTTGCTTAGGGGTGAGTGAAACAGAGGGCTGCCATTTTGAGACTGTTGGGTATCAAGTCTTGGTCTGCTCTCATTCTGAACGTTAGCAAGTCAATGCTTCATCTAGGAAGAGGGGGCAGATCAGCAGGAAGAGCATCATAATAGGAACTGGATTTGTCCTGTCCATTTAACTTGGTATGTCTACCCTGGCTGGCAGTGACTCTTTGGGGTTCAGACAAGGAGTCTCTCCCATTCCTACTTGGCGATGCCACAGATTGAACCCGGGGCATTCTGTTTGCAAAGCAGATGTTTTACCACTGAGCTACAGCCATTCCCCTAGTGGCTCTCTGGGGTTTCAGACAGGACCTGTCTCTGTCCTACCTGGATTAAACCTGCCAGGGACTGAACGTGGGGCTTTTTGCATGCAAAGTGTGTGCTCTGCCACTGACCACCTGACACCTAGACAAAATGTGAAACTGGGGAAATTGTCCTGTATGGTATCACAATTCTCTTGAACCCCTCCACTCCACCCTCTAACCTGAGTTAGTACTGCTAACCTTACTGCTCTTTTCCTACCTTTGGGCCAATAAGAGGGTAGAGAGCTGGAACAGTGCAGAATACACATTAATGGGAGTTACGGCAACTTTGTGAAGCCAAGCCAAGGCCAGATCCATTCAAGGGATACAAAGTCCCTCATTCTCATAAATAATAATGAATATTATTATTAATTAAATTTCTATACCACCCCTTGTCTGAGAATCACAGGGCAGATTGCAATATCAATTTACAAAGATATGTACCATAATAACAAACAAAAACAATACCCCACACACAGTTTAAAATGCCATAGATTGTTTAATTAGCCAAAGGCCTGGTAGAAGAGAAATGTTTTTGCCTGGCACCTAAAGATCTGTAGTGAAGGTGCCGGGTGAGCCTCCCTAGAGAGATCATTCCACAAACAGGGAGTCACCACAGAAAAGGCCTGTATTTATGTTGCTACCCTCCAGAAATCTCGCAGATGAGGCACACAAAAAAGGGCCTCAGATGAGGAACTCAGGGTCTGGGTCAATTAATATGGGGTCCTTGAGGTATCGCTGTCTACCCTGACTTGCAGTGGTTCTTCAGAGTATCAGGCAGGAGTCTCTCCCAGCCATACTTGCCGTTTAAGGCTTTATAGGTCAAACAAGCACTTTGAATTGGGCCCAGAAACTAGTTGGCAGCCAGTGCAGTCAGGCCAGAATTGGCATTATAGGCTCAAACCGTCTTGCCCTGGTGAGCAACCTGGATGCTGAATTTTGCACCAGCCGAAGTTTCCAAACTTTGGTCCAGCACATCCACTGCAATAGCTGCAGATGTAAAGGAGAAGTAGAGCTGTGTGTTATCAGCATATTGCCAAGGAAGTGAGTTCTCTGGGGGAAGAGAAAAATTGTACTGGAAATTTTTCCTATGCAGATTAGGCTAGTTTGCATATTGGGCAGAGGGGGGGAGAATCAGTTTGCAGCAGAAAATGTTCTGGTGTCCTAGAGAGTGATTAAATTTAGCATGTTTGTTTTACTTGTATTTAGTAAACAAAGCTAAAAACTTTGAAACTGCCAAGCATGCCTAATAATTGCCTCTGCAGTTGGCATCCATCCCCTGTTGCTAATGAACTTAGGAAACAGAGCATTTTCCATGGAAAAATAAAGCACTGGAAAATGTTGCATTTTGGAAAATTTTCAAGCCCACATTTAATGTAGGAAGCGCATAGAAAAATTGCTAGCTCTAGCCTAACTAATCTTGAGAAGACAAGGGCAGTCCTTTGTTCCTTTGTTCTCAGTGGATAGCTCCAGCGTAATCTCTCATCTTGAGGTCTAAGAGAGGAGAAGGAGTTGTAAGCAGGATGCCACCTAAGGTGTATCACTCTAAACCAGGGGTATGCAAACTAAGGTCTGTGGGCTGGATGCGGCCCAATCACCTTCTCAATCCGGCCCATGGACAGTCCGGGAATCAGCTTGTTTTTACATGAGTACAATGTGTCCTTTTATTTAAAATGCATTTCTGGGTTATTTGTGGGGCCTGCCTGGTGTTTTTACATGAGTAGAATGTGTGCTTTTATTTAAAATGCATCTCTGGGTTATTTGTGGGGCATAGGAATTTGTTCATCCCCCCCCCCAAAAAAATATATAGTCTGGCCCCCTACAAGGTCTGGGGGACAGTGGACCGACCCCTTGCTGAAAATGGTTGCTGACCCCTGGTCTAAACAACAAAATGATAGAGAAGTCAGCATAAAGATGAAGGTACGGGGATGGTTCCTAGCTCTATCTGTCTTAACTCTATGCAGAATTCTCTTCTGCAAGCCGAGTTGTGCCCAAACTTCCAGCTGTAGGTTTGCCTTTAAAAGGGAACTAAATCAAATTTCTCCCGCATCCCTGGCTCTCTACCTGTCTTTTATTCTTTTGCTCCCATCTCATCTCCCAGCTCTTTGTCTTGGCATGTTCTCTTTGTTTTGCTTTTCCTGCCTCCCCACATAGTTCCATGTAGATAAATGAGCTGCAGCGTTACATGAGTGTGTCTGTATGCGTGTTTTATATAATATAATTTGCCGCCCCTTACATCAAGGTGTATGGTCTCTTGTTACAGTCCAGGGAACTGTTGGAGCAATAAAGCAGCCTTCATTGTGAGAGGTTTGACTTTGTGCCCGTATGTGATGCATTCTTCGGGGAATTATTGTATTTCATGGCTGCATTTGAAAAAGGAAAACTCTAAAAATAAATGGAAGGCAGCAGCCCTCCTGACTGTTTAATGTGGCGAGATAATAAATTGTCGTGCCATTTGTACCTTTTAGTTGAATGACGCAGAGTTGTTTAAAGAGGCACGCAGAGGGACATAATCATAAGTTTCTGAATTCATACTGAATGTAACTTTATGTAATATGTACTTAGCACTAAAAGTGCTTCAGGAGACGGGTGCGGGGAAGTGTTGCCAAGGCAGGACTCGCTCAGCATACCTCTGCAGGCTCTTCTGTCACAGCTACTGGGCAAAGTTCCAGCTGTGGTGGTGGAGTATAAAACTCCATGCAGCTTGGGACCAGGATACCTAAAAAGATAGTCTGACCCCATATATAACCAACCCATCACGGCTCTGTACAGCTGATAACTTCCTGCAGATACCATCTTAACAGGAGGCCCATTCTGTGCAATGTAGGAGTCAGACCTTTAGTGTTGTGGCACTTATCCATTGAAATGCCCCCATTGCATGTCTTTTATTTTTCTGGCACCAACTTTTCTGCTGCTCCAGAGGGCCTAGGACCTGAACCAGTGAATTCTAATCACAAAGAGATGAGATTCTGACTAAACATTCAGAATAACCTCCTGACGGTTAGAGATGTTTTTGGCAGTGGAACTGAGTGTCTTGGAAGGGTTTGCCTTCATTGGAAGTTTTTCAACAGAGGTTGGGGGGCCATTTGCCTGGGATTCTTTAGCTGCAACTCCTGCATTGCAGGGGGCGGGCAACTAGGTAACTCTAGGGAACCAAAACTCCCATCATCCCTAGCAGCTGGCTATTGTGGCTGGGGATGATGGGAGTTAGAGTCACGAGAACATCTAGAGCTCCACAGCTTTCCCAACTCTACTCTTGAAAACAGAACAGAGGGCTCCATTATTTAGTGAAGCTGGCACCTCCCTTGCGGGACCTGTATTGTTTGGACCAACCTTCTCCTGTACAAATCTGCCCACTTCTTGAGATGTTCAGCAAAAAGCTTACTTTTGCCATAGGCGATAAACCTTTGGTAGTGAACCTACGTTCTAGAACTTCTTCTCCGTGGAATCCATCTATCCCGCATGCTTACTGGCCTTGAGGCACTCTGCAAACTCTTTCATTTTCGTTGGACCTGCAGGTCTTGAATTACATGTTGCTTGCCTGGGTTTACTGCTTCATTTTTTAAGGAGCTTCATGATATATATTTAGATTTTGGGTTTTCTGTTCATCTTAGTTGTGTTGAAGGACTCTTGCGGAGGACAGCACCCTAAAAATGTAATTGCAAATAAATAAATGAAAACATTGAACAAGTGAAGCTCCTTCTGTAATGAGTCCGACCAGATCTTTCTGTCCTAGTAGTGCCTAGTCTGCCTAGCTCTTCTTCAAAGCACCAGGCAAAGATTTTTCCAAGCCTGCTGTGTGAGATCCTTTTTAACTGGAGAGGAATAAGGATTATTCCCAGGACCTTCTCACGTGCAAATCCACTGTGGTGTAGTGATTAGCAGGTTGCAGAGACCTGAATTCAAATCCCCACTTGAACAAGTTATTACTTCTCAGCCTAAGCTACCTCACAGAGTTATTGTGAAGATAAAAAATGACTGGGAAGAACCATGCAATGCCGCCTTGGGCTCGTTGAAAGAAAAACAGGATAGAAATGAAAATAAATAAAACTTGGGCTGCACCATGAGGTTATATGTTCTCATTTCTTGCAAGTAAAGGAGTAAGTGGATGGTATTACAGATTGGAAGCAAGGCTCCTGGTGCTCCTGAATTTATAGATTCATAGAATTGTCGAGTTGGAAGGAACCATGAGGGTCATCTAGTCCAACCCCCTGCAATGCAGGAATCTTTTGTGGGACTCGAACCCACAAGCCTGAGATTAAGAGCCTCATGCTGTACCAACTGAGCTGCCCCAGAGAGAAGCCCCTGCATAAGTGATGCTCTTCACCTCTTCATCTATTCATTACCAACAAGCTGATGCTGGCTATAGGCCCAAATTTACAGTGGATGAACTCCAGAATTGGGGCGGATGCTGTTTAGCACCATTGTTGACCGTCTCAGAAGAGAGGTCAAGAAGCGACTGAGAGCCTTTTGTTAGCGCCCTTGGAAATGCACGATGATGTTAGCATAATTGTAGAGGCAGCAGACAGTGGAGTTTGCTGTTTTGGTGCCGGGGCCCTTCTATCTGGGAACGCTATGGCATCTATAAGCTGTAGAGCAAGAGTGGAGAACCGTCATCTGTGTTCATTGGCCACGTTGGTCTGGGGTTGATGTGTGCTCAGCCACATCTCCATCCCTGCTGTAGAAGAACCCTGTGATGCACACACCTAGGACTCCCAGTTCAGATCTCACCCCACTGCTAGGTAGCTTTCGACAATGCAGCTTTGGAGTGCTGCAAACATGTTGGAAGGTTGGAGAAATAATCTAAAGGCAGCCACCCAAGGATTCTGTGTGTGGGTGCTGGGCCTGGAGGCTGTGGCTGGCTAAGATAAGACCTGTTAGCAAGTCACAGGTTCCCATTCTCTTTTCCCTCCTGCTTCAGGCTGTAGGGAGGTATCAGGCGGAACATAGGAAGCTGCCTTATAGGTCCATCTGCTTCAGTGCTAACTGGCAGCAGCTCTCTAGGGGGGTTTCAGGCAGGGAACTTCCCTGAGCCCTACCTGGTGATGCCTGGAATTGAATCAGGGACCTTCGGCATGCAAAGCAGATGCTCTGCAGCCCTTCCCAGTTGAACCCAGTACCAAGCAGCAGCACCGTTGTGAATAACTGCCCTGGTTTCTCTTTCTGTCTTTATACACTCTCCAGAACTGGTCCAGCTGATCTCTGAGCCCCTGCTTTAAAAAGAGCTCCAACCCAAAGCATCCTTTTTTTTAAAAAAGTGAACATGCTATCAAAAGATAGGCAGGCTTGGCCTTCTGGTGTCTAGTTGAATGAAGATCTCTCTGTCTCTCAGCTTCCGCGCAGACAGCCAAAGCCAGGCAGGTTGGGTCTGGCAATATGCTTCATTTCATCTACCTGCAAAAGGCGCCCTGGCTCGCCTTCAATCATTTAAGCTCCCTTGCTCCCTGACACGCTTTTCCGCTGTCAGTAATTCTGCGAGCGCTCGCCGGGCATTTACTGCCATCACCAGAGGAAATACTGATGGCTTAAAGTGGGATCATTTCCTTTCTGACGGACAGCCGGCACCTGTGGGAGTTTTAATAGCCGTGTGGAGCGCCTGTCAGGAGGCAGTGCAGGAGATGTGAGCAATCGCCCTGCAGTGAGGTGCTTGCAAGCTGTGAGAGCCTACTGGGAGACCTGGGAATGGAAAATGAGCAGAGAAAAGAGGGGGGGGAAAGGAGGAGGAGGAGGAGTATATGCAGCTGCAGCAGCAGCAGCGGATTTATAAGAAATCTCTCTCTGGAGAGCTCTGGGGAATGTAGCTGGGGAAATGTACCCCCCCCCTTCTCTTTTAGGCTTCCCCAGAATATATATATCTTTTCTTATACACTCAGTCAGCATCCCTCCTTAGCTCCTCTCACTTGCCTGGAATTAGTGGAATGAATGGGAAATCCCAATATTCTTATAGATCAGAGACGCCATTTGAGCCTTTAGGGCAGCGATGAGGAACCTGCGACCTTCCAGGTGTCTTTAGACTTCAATTCCCATCAGTCCCAGCCAGCATGGCAAAGGGACAGGGATGAGGGAAGTTGAAGTTCCAACAACACAAGGAGAGCCACACACTCCCCACCTCTGATTTAGTGGTTCTCATTGCAGCCTTGGGTAGTTGTTGGCATCCCCATCAAAGAAATAGCTTGCATGGGATGACAAAATATGGGGAGGGGCATTAGGTCATACTCACTATTCCTAGCATTGAAAGCACAATGACTTAGCTGAATTATGCAAGGATTGCACTGAGTCGGTTTCCTACAGCTTGAGCTGCAATAGGAGGATTTGGTAGTTATGTGGACCTCCATTTCCAATGGCACTCACCACTTGAGTTTGCTATTGAAAGGAATGGTACTCAAGGTGAATTGGAATCAAATGAATAGTTGAACTGCTTTATAGGTTTTTAATGTGAAAGTTTCCATAGCCAGAATTATTATAGCAAAAGCTTACTTGGCAGGGACACTTCCCTTTTAATTATATGTTTATTGAACCAGTTTCCTGAGATTTTAGCAGTGCAGGTGAGGTTTCTACGGGTACATAAGTGTATTTTGTGCCGCACAATGGCCCTTTGGGAAATCATATTATTTTGGGGTGAACCTTTTGAGCTAAATGAAAATAGATATGTACCAAGGTACCAAGTTAAAATAGATGTAGCATGGATCTTGTTTTCAGGAGCCTGTGGTGCATTGGATCAGTGTGTCTGGCTGTTAACCAGAAGGTTGGTCGTTCAAGCCCACCCAGTGACACTTGTGGGCATGATTCATGCATTGCAGGGGGTTAGCTAGATGACCCTTGGGGTAAAGGTAAAGGGACCCCTGACCATTAGGTCCAGTCGTGGCCGACTCTGGGGTTGCGGCACTCATCTTGCTTTATTGGCCGAGGGAGCTGGCGTACAGCTTCCGAGTCATGTGGCCAGCATGACTAAGCCGCTTCTGGCGAATCAGAGCAGCGCACGGAAACGCTGTTTACCTTCCTGCTGGAGTGGTGCCTATTTATCTACTTGCACTTTGACGTGTTTTCGAACTGCTAGGTTGGCAGGAGCAGGGACCGAGCAACGGGAGCTCACCCTGTCATGGGGATTCGAACCACCGACCTTCGGCGTATATCCAGGTCATTGTAGGAGGGAACGGGAAGCAGGCGGAGAAGAAAAATACCTGTTCATGGTGCCAGTTCTCAGTTTTTTGCAGCAAAGAGGCCTGGAATTGGGCCCATTGCTGTTGCATGCTGTCAGCAGGGCTGACCCCATCCCCCCCAAAACCCCTGTCCCATTTGGGGGTTTTCTGCTGGCTACTGCAGAATCCCCAGTGGGGATTCCAATAGCTCCTGCCTGCTGTTTGGGCAGATGTATTGGGTTTCCCCCTGCTGACTTCCCATAAAGATGGAGGCTGGTGGACCCAGAGAGGACTGCTGGAAAACACGTCGCCCTCGTCCAAACCACCTCCAACATTGCTCTGCCCAATACTGGAAGATTTTTCCTGTTAAACATGTAATAATATTATAGCATTACTTTGCTAAGCTGCCTTTTCTTAATAAACTAAACTAGCAGCAGAACAGTCATGGAGCATCATTTAAACACCAGAGCAGCCAATTAAAAAGCCTTGAGGTCTGTTTGTTTTTTAAGGTTTTAACTTGTCACCAAAAGGTCAGCAGAGAAAGTGCCCCCTGAATCTGTTTGGGGAGGTCATTGCAAAGATGGCTCATCATCAGTGAAAAGGCCTGCTCCTCTCTGACAGCCACCCGCCTTGCCTCACAAGCCTGGGGAGAAGAGCCTCAGAAGATTACTTCAAAGGTCAGGCAGGCTTCCACGAGAGGAGACTGTCCTTTACGTAGCTTGCCCTAAGCTTGCTTAGGGCTTTCAAGCAGCTTTGTATTTAAGGACTCACCTGGTCGCCATGGGCGACAAGGAATTCCATGCAGGCGAGTACATGTACATTCCATGCTGGCAAGCTTAATGGGCTGGCGGAGGAGGACCTGAGCACCCATGTCCCACCTCTGGGCCCAGGTAAGAAGTGTCAGAGGAGGGAAGTCCCCTTCCTTCGTGATCAGTGTAGAAATGCAATAGCAGCTGTTGGAGGATATAAAGGGCTCCCAGTTCCCTTCCTTCCCTGACAGGCTCCAGCAGGCTAGTACATTTTTTGCAAAGTAGTAACACTTCTGGGCTTTTCTCGCAATGTTGCTTTAAAGGTTCAAACCAGCACTTTGAATTGAGCCTAAAACAAACTGGTATAACCAGTGTGCCCTTAAAAAAATTACTGGTGAGGTATGTTCAAACCAGCATGCCTGTGTTAATCTTGCAGTCATGTATTCAACCACCTGAAAATCCAAACTGTCTTTAAGGGCAGCCCCACAATGAGCATGTTACAGTAGCTGAGTGTAGCTGCTACCGGAGCACAGATAGTGGCAGCCAGGATATATACACACACAAGGGAAGGGAATCCCTTCTGTTTTTCTTGTTTGTGGGGATTTTTGACTAGTATTTCCTGCTATGTATAAATATAATGAGATTACGTTAAGAGAGTGGTTTCCATGTGCATAGTTTATGCTTCCGTTAGTGACTCTGTGCGCTGCTTAACTGTTGCTTTATGGGGTGGGGTGTGTGTGTGTGTGTGTGTGTGTGTGTAAAATGTGTGCGTGTATAATTTCTTAAGGCATTCTCCTCACCCCCTTATGACAGCTGTGTAAAACACAAGCAGATTTCTTTGATTTAAAGCAAACATGGGGTTGTATCCAAGCTAGAGTTGACCTCTTCCAAATTAATGGTCCTAAATTGAAATGTGTTAAGCCCGGGATGAGGAAAAGGTGGCCCTCTGCTGATTCTCATCAGCTGCAGCCAGCATGACCAATGGTCAGGGATGATGGGAGTTGTAGTCCAACAACATCTGGATGGCCATTGGTGATCTGTACACAACAGTAAATTACTTCATGCCATGGCTGTGTCAGGAACAACTTTGAGTAGAATAGTTTCTTTGAATCTCTTTTTGTATTTTAGTATTGCACACCTGCAAGCCTGCTTGCAGCTTCAAACATCTTAACCTTCCCAAAGCTGTCAGTTTATCAAGCAGGGCATCTGATTTTGACAGGGTCAGAGAGCAAAAGTCACACTGTTTTTAAAAGCAAGACATAGGCTGATCTGGAATATGTCAGCTGCCGTTGTGGAAATGTTAAGGCTGAGGTTAAGGAAATGTTGTGGTGCTTCAGGGTGGGGAGGGGAGAGGTTTCTTCCAGTGGAACTGTATGGCTAAGATTTAAAAGACCAAAGGTGTGATATTCCCCATTTAGCTATTCTTCTATTTTCACAAACAGATTCTCTCCCTCTCCCTCTCCCTCTCTCTCAGCTTCTTTCAGTATAATCAACTTCTTTTAAAATTGAGTTTGTCCACCTGAAATTGTGATTTTGGATAATCACTCTTTAAGATGTTTGTTCAAAAGGCTATATTATACATTGAAGAAATACGTACATCACTTCTAATTTAAACTTGTGCAGATTCAGACTTTATTGTTCCTTGCCTAACATTGATGGGCACTGGATATGGCTGGACTTCAGAATCCCTGACCATTGGGCATGTTGGCTGGAGCAAGCTGGAGTCTTAAGAACATCTGGAGGTTTCTCACCCCGATTTATAGGGCAGGCTGTAAACCAGCAAATGTTAGCTGCCACTCTGGAATTCCATTTCTCCAATTAACTGCTCTGGAAATGAATATGTGGCTATTCCCACTACAGCATTTGGTCAAATACATGTGGCCTTAATGCTGTGAGCTTCCTCATGTGATGACTGAAGCAGAAAGCGCTGGTCTGCGCACTGTAGTTAGACAGTGAAATCATGACTCTCCCAGCCATGAACTGTGCATTGGGACTGCTAAAGTAGATATAGTCATGGCACACGCTTCTGCAAAGCCCCAAGGATATTACTCCTCCTTCACGCTCTGGAATCTCAATAAGCTGTGTAAACAGAGAAGATTAGGGAAGGGTTTAAACCTGGGCTGAGCAAACAGTGAGATTTCTGACCTGTGAGAAGCTATTGGTGGGTGGGAGCGTGGTTGTCTCAAAGCCAGGGCCTCCAATTAAAAAAGAACAAAATGATTTCTTACTGATAGATTGCAATAACCTGCGGTCTTGAGATGTCCCTTTACATCTCATGGAGCCACAGTTAAGGTACATATATAAATGTCGTATTCCTGGAAAGCATAGGACTGCATCCTGTGGGAAGCTGCCCAGTTCATTAGATGAGTATCAACAGCCCGAGCTCCCAGGTGAGCATGTCATACATTTTTTTGGTATCATATTTTGTCCTTGCAACAACCCAGCTAGTGTGCATTTGCATAGGTTCTTCTCTGATAGCAGGGCATTCTCATGCACCTCCTTTCTGATCCATTCACCTGGGCATTTTCAGCACACATTGGTCAGTCATGGCAGTGGAGGCTGGTCCTTTAGGGAGAATGAGGCATTGCCCTACCAACTTCAGTCAGTCCTGTCTTCTCACTTACATTCAGTTGGGGGGGGAGTGGCCCTGGCATCAGGGAGGAGAAGGGGGACCAAACACAATTAGTTGCCTGTGCCTGTATTGGCAGAGGGATGGGGTGCCCTGCTCAAGTCCCTTGCGATATAGTATCCCAGAGGAGATGTCCCGCTGGAACTATAAACACTTCTTTTAGAAGGAGAGGATATTGCCAGCTGCTGGTTGAGTCTGTTTTCAGTATTTTAACATTTTATTGTGTTCTGGTTGCCGTGACATTAATAGAGCGGTTGTTCTAAAATGCCATTAGCTGACGCAAGAGTGTTAAACTGAGAAGCAGGTTGGAAATATTTAAGTAAGCAAATAAATACATTGAACTTTAAACAGGAAAGCTGCCTGATAGACTCTGTGATCATGGGCTTGCTTTATCTGTCTAAATGCCACTTGACATCTGCCAACCGGAGGCAGCAGGGGTATTGCCGTTGTTGTTGTTGTTTCATTTATTTTATCTCTTTTACACTGTATTCTCACAACAACTCTGTGAGGTCGGTTAGAATGAGCAATAGGTGACCAAGTGGGGATTTGAACATGGGTCTATAGTTGGATGCTCTAAACAGAGCAAACTACAACATACACACACACACACACACACACACACACACACACACACATATATACACACACACATACATACACATATATACATACAAATAGATTTATATATATATAAATGTTAAGCAGCACGGCACTGAGACAGAGCCAAAGCCCCTGTTTGCTCTTTTAAGACTAACCAGTGGCTTCTCCAGCCCTCCTGACTCCAGCAGTGGGTTGGAGGAATCCTTTTGTTCCAAATAAGCAGGCGGGGGTGGGACTTTTATCTCCAGCTTGTGGTGCTTAGAGCTGAGATTGGAGATAAGCCCCCTGACTGCTCTTTAAGAGTAAAAGGCAGCATTTCTTCCCACACCACCATTGTGTGGGCTGGTGTGTCACTTCCTACAGCTTGGTGGCCAGATGTGGCTTGCGGTCTATAGGTCAGACACAGGGCTGTCTTAAGCATATGCAGCGCCGGGGTGCAAAGATCTGCCCGGTGCCCCCCCTCCGGTTGCCCAGTCCCAGGCGCGCAGAAGGGCGGAGCCGGCCAGCCACCTCAGCTTCTCGCTGGCTCAGTTGCCCCCCAACGTGCGGTGCAGAGCCGCCCACAGCAGAAGAGCCCGCCGCGGCACTCCGACCGACGGGTGGGCTCTTCCCCGGACTCAACTTTCAGGCCCTGGACTCTTGACCTGGCACCCCTGAGAGCCCGGCGCCTGGGTGCCCCGCACCCCTAGCACCTATGGGTAAGATGGCCCTGGTCAGCCACTCATTCTCTAACCACAACACAACACTGACTGGTAGGACCAATGCAGCTCATACTGAGAGAGAATTTCTCGCCTAGAGCCATCAAGGGAGCTTCACGGCTCACCCGGGTTTTCAATCTGATGTTCCCTACCATCAAATTCAATAAGGAGTGGCTGCAACTGACCAGTTGTCGTTTGGTTCTGCTTGCGAAGTTGTCAGGCTGCACACAAATACATGGGCAGTCTGAATGATCTATATAGCCTACAGCCATGTTGCACAACAGTTCTTGCCATGCCTTCTATATCTGTGCTTTGCTTGCAGAGGAATGGGGTTTCCCTCGCCAAAAAAATCACTTTGCTATATGACCAGATGCTGCATAAACGAATTAGCTGCTTGCAGCAAAATAAAATGTCATTGTAGGTGATAATGAACCGCTCTAAAATGTCAGTGTGTATATAGCTTTGCTGTGCCTGCCTAAATAAATAAATAAGCCTTCTTTTTTCCTTTTTTTTTTTTTTGGTGCTGAACCTATGTGGCCCCTTATGCATGCAATGATCTGTTAATTAAAAACTGGAGGGAAAGAAAATAGCATAGTGCAGCCAGCAGGGCATTTCATCTTAGTTCCTAGTTCTTTGCTTTCAGGTTTCCATGGACTTTAAGAGTGCAAAAGCGAGCACGAAATGAACAAATGGGTTTCTGTTGCAGCCTCCAGTTTGTACAGAGACTGAATAGAGATGTCGCTGTTGTGTCTGAGACAAAAAGGCAATTGCAGAACATTTAATGTACTTTAAAAAATAAAAAAAATGCTTGCAACCTTTTGCAGTTCACTATCCTCTCGTTGTTCCTGGATAAGGTTGTGGATAATAGCATTACTTCTGTTCCATAGATGAGATATTATATAGCTTCTTGCATTTCTGATGATATTTTATTTTATTATGTTTGAAGAGAGCTCATACAGTGTAGTGTTGAGTGTTGAGATTGGCCTAGGAAGACTTAGGATGGGGAACCTCAGGCTGAATGCGGACCACTAGGGTGCTCTGTCTGTAAAGTCACATATAGGCATCACTCTGGTCTCTGTCTTTGCTCCTTCCTCTTCTCCAGTGTCTTTCTCAATGCTTCTTCAATGGCAACAATATTTTATGGTTGAAACTGTAGAGTTGAAGGGGTCTTGTAGGCTAAGCAGACTAGCTTCCCGCTCAGTGCAGGAGACCCAGAACGAGAGCCTCCCCAACAGTTGTCCCCCGAACAAATTCCATGTGAGAAATCATTAGGAAAGGAATTGAAAGTAAAGTTGCCAATATCGTAACACCATTATACAAATCTTTGGTATCAACACATTTGGAATACTGTGTGCCAGAGGCGAATAGTGCAGAGCAAGATATTTAAATGTAAATAGGTGTTTTAAATGTAACAGGGGGCCAAGTGGTCCGGATTAAAACAGTGGGAAAGCGAAGTAGCCAGTAGTGTTTTATGAAATACCTTTTTTTCACTTCCTCTTTCTGATTTACTCCTTTTTTTACAGAAGGATATGTCATTGAAGCCACAAGAGAGAAAGGAAAAATGGGAGAGACATCCAGGAAAGAAACCCAGAGAATCTGAACACTGTGTGTCAGCTGAGCCAAGCGAAAATGGCCACAATAACGATGCCATGAGTTCGGGGAGAGAGACGGATCGAGGGAAGGAGAGGGTGAAGAAGAAAATCCCCTTGAAAATCCACACGCAGGTAGGACAAAGGTTATCTCCCACCTTTGGTGCGGGTGGTTACTTGGGGGGAGGGGAGTGTTAATGTTGTTATTATTTGCTTACTGCTGTTAATATTATTTGGATGTAATATTATTTGCATTGAACTTAAGATTCACACAGATGTTTGTGGGTGTGTCACACTCGGGGAAATTGTGGAGCTTCGGCTTGTTTCGTTTGAGTTGCGTTCCCCAGTTTTGGGTCCCCAGATATTGCTGAACTTGAACTCCCATTATCCCTGACCATTATCCATGCTTACTAGGGCTGATGGGAGTTGGGAGCCCACATTATCTGGAGTGCCATAAGTCCCCCAACCCTGCTTTAGAAAAGTGTTTATTTCAAGAATTAAGTGTGTGGGGGTGGGGGTTGGACTATTTTGGTATTTGCCATTTTGTCTCTCTGCTGGCTTAGTTTCACTGGTGCACCTGAACGTATCTGACGCAAATTATCTCAGTTGTTTCTTGTGGCTTACCTTTTAACAAAATTGGTGGTGTTTGTGGCCTGGCTATGGCTTTCAAAGTTCCAAATGTGAAATCCACCAAATACTTCTTACTGCCTGTGGAGAACCAGATTGTAGGTAGTTGCCAATGCAATAAATCGGAGTCAAATTCTAGGAAGGAAATTGAAGCATCTGCACTGTCTCCTGGTTCATTTCAGGACCAATTCAGGCAGCTGGTGCGTATCTTTGTAGCTCTTCACAGTTTGGGACTAGGATATTTGATAGTTTAGCCTGCCTTTGTCATTGTCAGTGGCCCTCCTTCTGGGAAAGGGCCTTCTTGGTGGTGGTGTTCCAGAGACCTGCCTTTTATCTTCTCCCATGTCATTTTCTGAGGTATTTTAATTGTCATTCTCCTGTGTCTAGTTACAAGCTGCCCACACATCTAGTGGTTTTACTGGGTTTTTTTCTTATGCCTTGATTATGATTGCTTATGGTTGCTCTTTTTTATATTATTACCCCTCTTGGAGTTATGTTTTTTGTTGCTGTAAGCACTCCTGGGAAAATGTTGCTTTTGTTGTGGGGGAAGGAAGAATGGAAGGGCAGGGTATGAATATTTGGTAATACAATAGGTTTTCATCCTACTCAGAACAGTCCTGTTGCAGTTAATAAACATAGCTGACTTACATTCCTCAATTTCAACAGGTCTACTCTGATTAGAACTTTATTGTTTTTATTTGTTAAATTTATTGGTCACTTTTTTACCTCTGCAACTCAAAGCAATAAAGTATTTTAAGCAAAAAACTAACACATGGACATAAACACACACACGTAATGTATATGTACATCTGTGTGTAATGTATGTATATGTACATACATTAAAACCAGCACTGAAAACAACAACAAATATTAAAACATCCCACCCATGCGTAAAGGACCTAGGTAGGTAAAAGCCAAAGACCTGCCTAAAGATATGTAACAATTGCATCAGGCAAGCCTACATTAATGTAGACAAATAACAAATTACAAAAAGGATCAATAAACCTTTATCATAATCACATGTCAGATTTTCTTTTGTGAATGAAATGAAATGGTTTCAACCAGTTTATAATAGCCAAAAATCAAATATAGGGTTTGTGGTGTATTTAAACAAGGCTTAGATCAACTCCACAGATGTTCAGTGTCCAGGGGTTCAGTGCCTGGCACCCAGAAACTTATGACACAGGGGAGTCTGGTACCCACAAACTCATAACATTCCATTTCCTTGCAGCCTAAGGAAAGCTGTTTATTGGCAGAACACAGTGGGAAGAAACTGAAAGAAACAGGGGGATGAAGAGGTCTAAGGGTGAAGCCTTGCTCCTGTCCATCATAATACTGGACAGATTGCTCCAGGGTGTTGAGAGGGGTTATTTTTAACTATTAAGTGAGAAACAGCAGCCATAGTCTAGGCCAGAAGTGTTTTCCCTTGGTGACCCCGCCATGTTGAAAAGTGTGTGTGTTTGCAAGGTGTATCCTGTCCTGTCCAGAAATGCACCGTGCTGGATGAAGCCAGCTCTAGATCTTTTCTAAATAAATTGAATAAAACCACTTAACCCACTGAAAGATATATTTGAAAAATGAATATTAAGGGGAGCCATGCCTCTTGTAAAGCAAGGTAGCTACTGGTGTCATGTCCTCCATTGTGACACATCCCCCTGCTCAGTGACTTGGCTGAGGACTTTGGGAAGAACTATTTGTGGATAGTTCAGGTGATAGAAGGTGATTTTTGACAACCCAAGTATTTTTTCCAGTGCTATGAAGAAAGATTATTCATCTAAAGTGTAAGTAGAATTCCTAATTCTTTCTGCATTCTGCTTCTTTGGCTGTTCCTCAAAATTTAGAAACATAGGGAACCAGGTCATGGTTAGATTAAGTTTTAAAGATTGTCCTCAGGGCCACCTTAGATGCTTTGAGGGAAATGGCTTGCCGTCTCTCTTGTGGGCATCATCACAAGAAGGGCATCTCCCAGTTTTGTAGGGTCCTTTGACAAGATGCCCTCCTCCGTGGGTTCAACTGCAAGGGGGAGCCACCAATGAAAAGGCCCTTTCTCATGTTGGATATAACCTGTGGGAACTTGCTGGTAGGGATGTGGGACAAATATGATTCACTTGGCATTTAAAGGCAAGCCTAGCTAATTCATACCTTCCAAAACAATACACAAATCAAAACACAGCCACCCCTCAAAATTCGTGTTTCTCTAAATCTTGGAATGCAGTTCTCTAGCCATGCAGTGTGTACAAAATGTCTACATTAGTGAAACTAATGTTTAAAAATGCATTTTACAGAGGGAAACCTCCTTGCAAATATCTGATTAGGCAAAATTGCTTACAGTTATTATCAGGAGAAGTTTGCACTAAAATGCTGCTGGATTTTCACGTTTTTGTTTTAATTTAAAGAATTCAAATTGGTGTGGCAGTGTGGGGAATCCAAACTTAAGAATGGAAAAATAATAAACAGAGAAACCAAACCTGACAGGTTTGCCCATCCCTACTTAGAAGCTGTTGAGTCCAACAACCTGCTCAAAGCAGTATCTGCGCTGCTGGGTGCAACTGCAACGCCCCGACAGATGTGAGCGTGTGTGTGGTGTGGTTTACAAATACAATTTTCGTATGCTTTCTGTGATTCGGCTTTCTCCTGTGTGGTGCCTGGCAGCGAATTTAGAGCTGCAAAGAGAGAGAGAGAGAGGCAAGGAGTGCTGGAGAATGTGAGAGGCATACCGATTTGGGCTGTTCCCCCTCTCCCCTCCCTGCTCGAGGCCTCCAGCCGTTTCCCCCATGCATTCAAAATTTGACAATGCATTTAACAAACTCCTGAGATGGCAGTAGTCTAGCCTGCCAGTCATACACAATGGGGGCTGCCCCAGCAGCCTTTGCTTGAACTAACATGTTTGTTCAAAGCTAAGGAGGTGAAGAGAGAAAAGCACCAGGGGGGTGGCAGGCCATTCATCACTTACAGCTGCTCATCTGGGATGTTTGCAGGGGGAACTTGGTGCTCAGTCATCAGCTTGATAGTTCCATGGCTGCAGCAGCAGCATTTGTATTGCTAACAGCAAAGGTTTCCTCACTTGCTGTCCCTAATAAGAGAGAAAAGCTGGGCTAAAATAGCCTCCAGAAATTCTCCACCTTATCTGTCGGTATAGAAACTGGTGAGTGGGGGTAGGGGAGATATTTTTATTTTTATTTTATTTTATTTTATTTTATTTTATTTTTTTAATTAGTATATTTTAAAAAACAATTAATAGGAAGAGGTGGAGAAAGGAGCAAAGGAAGGAAAGAGGGATTGCAAATGCCCTTTGTCTCACAGAAATATTTTTACACTCATAGCCTGTGGGGGCCACATTCCCTTCTGGGCAACATTCCAGGGGCCACAAGCTGGTGGTAGGCAGATCTCCCTTTGTTTCAGCGTTGCCCTTCTTGAACTCATTGGGGAAGAGGATGGAGACCAAACTAAAATTAATTGGCTCTGCCTGCCACTGGCTCTGCCAACACCACGCCATACCTTTAAAGTACAATTAACACACTATTAAAGCACATAGCTTCCTCCAAAGAATCATGGGAACTGTAGTATACTGCCTCACGGAGCTCCAGTTCTCACCATCCTCAACAAACTACAGTAGCCAAGATTCTTTGAGAAAAGCAATGTGGTTTAAATGCCTTTTACATGCATGCTGTAATTGTGACCTTGTTCTCTTTCCCTTCAGCCCTACCAGTCTCAATGGGAACCAGCCAGTCCTAAACCTAGGCCTCATTCTGGGGCATTGGGCATGTGGAAAATGGTGGTTACAACCACTGATAAAGAAAGCTGAAGATAGTCTATGAAAATGCTCTTTATTATAACATAAACAGTACTCCACACTGCAACATTTTGTTGCAGATCCCACTTGTTTTATATATACAGCAGAACGTCATCAGGCTTGCCGATGGGGTTTTTCTTACATGTTTTTAAAGCGGGTTTTCCACCTGGTTGGTTTTCACCCAGAAGCACCCTTTAAAAACAGCAAGCAAGCCGGTGGAGGCAAATCTCAGACTAGCTTTCTCCCTCCCAGTTCAGACACTGCCTGATTTGAGAAACATGCAGCTGCTGCTGGCACCCTCTCTGCCCTTTTCGCTTCTCCTTGACTGCTCCTCCTGCAGTTAAGCATCCCATATAGAACTGTAAATGCAGCCCGGCAGGAAAGAAACTCCTGGCTAAGCTAGTGAAGTTCAGCTTAAATGTAAAGGCAAGCGGAATGGAGGAAAGAGGAAGTGGGAAATAGTGTTGTTCTAACTTCCTCCTAAAGCTCTATGTACTTTTCAGTAGAGGAAAAGACAACTTATGTAAGCCCCTCCTGACCAAGGGGGCAGAGACAAGACCTCGGGGACTTTGTGTATTCCAGGGGAAGACCTCAAGGGCCCCATTGCTCCCATAGGCACTCTGTTGGTGACCCCCTGCTTTAAAGACTAGCAAATTGCATCTGATGAAGTTGGGCGAGTAGCCCACAAAAGGTTATGCCATAGCAAATTTGTTAGTCCTGTGAGTTTCATTCAAGAAAATGTATGGTCCTATTTGGTTGCAGTGGTGTCCAAACTTTTTTCAAAGAGGGACAGATTTGATGAAGTGAAGGGCCGCGAGGGCCGACTAAAGAGCCAACCAAAGTTTTTTTAAGATTTAAGTTGTTGAGCTATTTTTAGGATTTTACCCCAAAGTTGTTGAGCTTCTTTTTAGGATTGAAGTCGTTGAGGGATTTTTTTTAAAGGATTTTACCCAGGAAATAAACTGCCACGGGGGCTGGATTAAACCAACTGGCGGGCTGGATTAGCCCCCAAAATGGACATTGGACATGCGAGTTCAGAGCTTTCAAAATGGCACCCAGCAATGTGCCTGTTTCAGGGGGGTTGAGGAGGGTGGTGTTCTCCATTGTTAAGTTCTTAGCTCAGCCTGAAAGCCTCTGCCACATGCTCTGAAGTCACAGATGGCTCTCTCCTGTTCGTTCCTAGTAATCTGCAAGGCACAGAGAATTCGCAGCTGCCTAAGAAACCACTGGGGAGCCCCAGCACAAAGTGTTGAAATGGGCAATACAGTATTTAGTCATTAGGGCCGCTCATCTAAAGAACTAAAATAAGGCTCATTTCAATCAATAGCAATCTGTTTGCACTGTCAGGAACTAATTTAAAAATCTGCTTTAAGTCCCGGTTAGGCATTTTGATGCTGAAAGCAGAATACAAAGTGCAGGGGAACTGTTGGGCATGGTGCGGCGGTGGCAGCAGGGAGGGAGTTAGAAAACAACCGAGTAAGGGGGAAACCCTGTCATTTTAACAGAGCTTATCCTGGTGTGTTAAAGCTTCTTACTGCCAGCCCTGAGCACACAGCTCTGCGGCACGTCTATGTGAAAAAAAGAAGCAAGCGATGCTCAGCTTGCTAAATACATGGTTCTTCCTCGTTTAAGCATTTGTTTGAAGGGGTGGGACCGCAACATTGAGAGGAATAGCAGCAGGTACAGGTTGCCTAGGGAGAAAGGGGCTGCTTGCATTGGCGTCCATTATGGGGGTGGCTTTCTTTCTTTCTTTTTTAAAAAGAATATTTTCTAGAACTTGAGCTAGGAGGCAAAATGTACAGGCTCTATTCTTTTCAATTTTTTTCTGAGAAACTATCCTGCTGCCTCCCCCCCCCCCCCTTTCATTGTTTTAATTTGTCGTCATCCCCTCTTTCTATCTCTGTGAAAACCCATAGCTGTTTGCTTCTGGAGATGGCATTTCAGGGGCTAAGGGTTCTCCCTGCTACACATCTGGGCCTACCACATCCATTTTCCCCATGCTAGAGAGTAGCATGGTTGCTAAGCAACCCTTTCTGGGCCTAGCGCCTCCTGTCAGGTTAGAAGAGGGAGTTGGGAAATTTGAAAGGTAGGGCCCCATCTGTCAGGCATCCTTTCCCTTACCTGAGTTCTAGTTCTAGACAGGCCTGAATAATTGCTAGCTTTAAAATAAAATAAAAAATCAGAAGGGAGAGCAGCTGTGTTGACTTTACCCCAATAGCCTTCGGTGCAACATCAGATCTCTTTTCTACCTGCCACTGTATAATCCAGTGAACAGCACAATCTTACATATGTCTACTGAGAAGTCCATTTGTGTCCTGTGCTCCCTTATAATGGAGAACCCACAGCCATAGCCCAGACCAGCCCAAGACATTTTTCTGCCTGAGGTGAAACAGAAAATGTCCACACAGATTACCCCATGATGCAACCTGATAAGGACATTGATAGCTACCACCTCCTCTAATCTGAGGCGCACCCTCTTCATCCTTTTTAAATGTATTTGTTCATTGTTGTCGAACACATGCTGAGCAGCGAATTGGACTTGATTATTTCAAAAGTCTGTTCCAACCCTAAAATGCTTTGATTCCAATTGGAACGAAAGCCCCAGTACTTTGCAAATTAACTGCAGTTTGAGGACCTTGCAAATGAGAATTTTTACTTGGGTGAAAAAGGACCTATGATTCAGAGGAGCTTACCCCCAGGAAAGTGTGCATAGGATTTGGTTGTTTGTTCCTGGGGGTTTAAAAGAAAACCTCGACCCGCCCAGTGCCCAAACCCAGACACATGACTTTATCCAGAGCATCCTGGGAACTGTAGTTAAGGGTGTTGAGAATTGTAGCTACCTTTCCCAAAATTATTTGGGTAAAGTCATGTGCTTTAAATGTATGGTGTGTACACAGCCTGGGACTTCCAAGGCTGCCCAGTGAACTTTGTAGCCATGTGCACACACTATATACCTTCAGTGCACACTTTTGAAGCACATTGACACTCAAAAAAAGTATGTGCACATTATTTTTTCCCTCAGAGAGTTAAAATTCCCAGCAAACCTTAACAAACTACAATGCCCATAATTCTTTGTGGGTGGTAAATATGCTTCAGACATGCTTTAAAGGTATAGGGTGTGTACAGCCATAGTCCAGTAGTGTTTATGCCAAGGTCTTGGGCAGAGATAGGTCTTTCTCATCACCTGTTACCTGACACTTTTACATGGAGTGGTCAGAGATTGAAACTGGGATGTTATTCATGCAAACCACATGCTGTGCTACTGAGATATGGCTCTTCCAGATTCAATTCAAAATTGTGAGCCATCAATTTTGTGAATAGGAGGAGAGAAGAGTTGTTGAACCTCTGTTACACTGCACAAAAATAAAATAAAATAAAATAAATAAAATAAAATAAAAGCTTCCTTTTGACGAAACCTCTTTTGCAAAACACCTTTAACACCCGTGCCTGCTCATTAGCTGATCAGTAGCAAACTCCAAACAGGCCGTGGTTCGTCAAATACGGTCCCAGCCCTGGAGCAATGTCTTGAAGAACAAAGTGCTCTCTCTCCCTCTCATCCTCCAAGCAGCTTTCTGTGTAGACATAAAATGGATCTCATTACAATGACTGCTTTGAAATGAGGAGACAGAAAATTTTGTTGCTAACAACTTTTATGACATCAGGCTCCATAAAAAGGTTGTTGTTGGTCATTGCTTACATTATTATAAAAGAAGAGCTAAATGGTTTGTAATTTAGGGAAGCAGATTTAATTACATGAAGTAATTTACAGAAAGCCGTAATTGTATCTCAGACTCTCTCCTTCCCTTGGATTTAATTGGCAAACTCAGTACACCAGCCTTGCAGTTCCCCCCCCACCCTCTTTGTTGGATGCAAAATCCTTTCTTTATTTGGGAGGAAAAGGCAGGCACCTTCTGTTATGTCACCTTGGCCTCAGATAATAAGAAAACACAAAATAAACAAGAAGTTATCATTGAATAGGGCTGGCTTGTTTTGCAGGAAGATGCTGCACCATGATGATCAGCTGTTCAGTAGTTGAAATGGAAGAAATTAGCTTGCTTATAAATGTAGAGGCCCTTCGTGTTCTCTCTAGTAATTACAGTAATTCTGAGTTAACTGGAAAAGCTTGTACGAAACACACTCAGTCCTTTAAACTTGGAAACAACTGGAGCCTAACAGAATTTTCCTGCTAGGAATGCATCTACTTGATCATTTTTTAATATCTCCCATCCTGGTCCCCTCCAGAAAGTTTGGACCACAACTCCCATCATCCCTGACCACTACTCACACAGACGGGGGATGACCTGGAACGCCCTCCCATCAGATGTCAAAGAGATAAACAACTACCTGACATTCAAAGACATCTTAAGGCAGCCCTGTTCAGGGAAGTTTTTAATGTGTGACATCTTAGTGTATTTTTGGTCTTTGTGGAAGCCACCCAGAGTGGCTGTGGAAAGCCAGCCAGATGGGCGGGGTACACATTGATGATGATGATGATGATGATGATGATGAGAGTTGTAGTCAAAAGCATCTGTCAAGCATCAAATTGGACAATGCTTACAACCTTAAAAACAACAACCAGTTTTACAGTAAGGTACATAGTTCCATATAAGCAGCTGCCTTAGACAAGGTTGGACTATTTGACCATCTAGCCCAGTATGGCCTACTACTCTTGCAGCAGTTCTCTGGGCAGAATGTGTTTTCCATCATCCCATCCTTTTTTAGATGGGATTCCAACAATTGAACACGGAGCCTTCTTCATGAAAGCCATGTTCTGTACCACTGCTTTATGGCTCCTCCTGTTAAGGGCATGATCATTGCCTGTTGACTGTATATGTTATAGAATCACAGCCTTGAAAGGGATCTTGGAGGTCATCTAATTTAACATGAATTCTCAATGCAGGATTCAGCTACACTGACCGTAACAGATGGCAGTCCACTTCTGCTTAAATACTTCCAGCAAAGGAGAGCCCACCACCTCCTGAGACAGTCTCTTACCATTAGGGAGCTTCTCCTAATGCTACAGCAAAATCTGCTTCTCTACATTTTTCATCCATTAGTTCTTTGTCTTGCTTTTTGGAACAACACAGAACAATCCTACTCCATCTTCTGCATGACTACAAGGGGTTGACCCATTGTGATGTCACAGTGCATCTGTGCAAACGCCACATCGTCCTTCCCAGAATTCGTATTGTTAGCAAAGTTCTTCAAATATAATGCAGATGGAAGAAAAACAGTGTATAATTTGAGAAAGGAACAGCGGCATTCAACTGAAACACTCAGAAGAAAAACTCCCTTAAAACTACGCAGCCAGTCAAAACAGGTACTCCCTCAGTGAAGTTCATGCCACTCTTCATCGTTGCTAAGCAACACCCCACTTCTTGGAGCATAGATGCAATAAGCGATTAAATAATAAATAGGGTTGTTCTGTGTTCTCTGCTTCCTGGTGAACTTTAAGATACTACGCAAAAAAAATTTAAAATCTAGCTGTGGAGCTGCGATACTGCAGCTGAAAGTGCTCTCTTGAGGACAGGAAGCTATTGGGAACCGTCCAGGACTGTGTGCTGTGGCAGTATTATTAACCTCAAGCATTCAAAAGATCTGTGTCAACTGCAACCACAAATTATAGGATGGGATTAAAAATAATGATAGTGTTTAGGGTGGGGGGGAGGGAGAATAATAGTCTGAGGTTTCTTTTCTCTGCCTCCCTCTCTCCCTCTCCTCCTGCCTTCTGAACCTTTTCACTTACATTCAGCTGTGCAGCGGCTATAAGCAAAGTGCTGGCAGCAGCATTCTTTAGCCCGTTGAACTGTGGTGCATCCATTTGTGGAAACCTTTAAGAAAAGAGAGGCTGTGTTACAATCTACTCTGGTTCACAGTGGATTAAAATGTGCTCTTGAAGGAAGTGGGGGTGGGGGGCATATGGCCTACAGGTTTCTGAAGTGCCACCCTCCATCCACTCCGATGCCTTGAGTTGCCCTGATGTCTCTTGACCACAGTTGTTAAGAAAGGATTCTTTCTCTAATGATAGAACAGATTCTCAAGTGAGGCTTGACTGGTCCTTCCTTCCCTGCCTTTTATGTTGGCTTTAATCCAACTGATTTTTGTTTTTTATTTTATTTTATTGTAATTTAGCCAGTTAGATTTTTAAAGTCATGTTTTTAGTCTGCTGTTAAGGACAGAATTAACACCACCCATTTAATAATTCTGTGTATGGGGGGGTGCTTACTAATCTTTCTATCTTGGAATCCCAATCACGATTTATTTATTTTAAATATTTTCTGTTTTAAATGCTTGGAATGCCAACTTTGCAATGATTAGTATTTGCTTATGTAAATATGTTTTTTATATACCCTGTTTTGTGGGGTAGAGCCTATGTTATTATTGCTGAATCAATATTTTTTTGGGAAGAATCAGGGCAAAACAGAGAATTCAAATATAATGCAGCAAAAGTATAAAGCCTCACTAAAGATTCAATTATTTATTTATTATTATTACATTTATATTCCACCTTTCCTCCAAGGAACTCAAAGTGGCATGCGCTCTCTCTCTCTCTCTCTCTCTCTCTCTCTCCATTTTGTCCTCATAACAACCTTGTGAGGTAGGTCAGGCTGAGAGAGAGGATGCTTCCGAATGCAATCCACCCATTTTCTGGAAGTATTAGACAGTGTTGCAACAAACACGTTGCAGTGTATTTTTCCACCAGTTTCCTTATTGCAAGCAAGTGAGGGCTTGACCACCTTAATATCACTTGATTTGATAGGAGAAGCTTTGATAGCAGATTTTGGAATAATTATCTTTTGTCAGTACAGATCAAAGCTGAATTAGGAATCTTTCTCTTCTTCCTACCTTACCCCTACTAACAGTCTATCACTGACCACCAAGATTTGGTCATATCTAACATCCCTACTGGAGCAGATTTATACTTATTGTGAGGATTTTAATGCCCAAATTGAAGGAACTGCAAAGGGTCTATTGCTACCTTTAAGGCTTACACTTGGAATATATTTTCCTAACCTCACACTGTTCTTTGGACAAGAAATATAATGCACGGGGCCTGAAATTGTTGGAATTCGTATTCTAGCCTAATTTATTTATTCTTCGTGGTAGTCCTGTGGACATATCTAAGGGTCAGTGCACTTATTTGAACAAACATGGTAGAACTGCTGTCAATCATATTATAGTCTCTCCTTTATTCACTTTTGTGAACGCCTTTGAAGTGTTAGAATGAACAGAAAGTGACCATTTTCCAATAGCAATGACCATAGTATGTCCTTTAGAATGCATAGCAGCAACCAACTCTGCAAGAGTGTACACAGCTATGGCAGGTGTGAAAAGGCTGAAATGGTCTCACAGACTGAGAGTTATAATCTCACAGTTACAATCTGACAAGCTTCCATCAACTTTTTATGAGCAGATCGCCAAATCTCATTGATGTCTTTCCACAAATTCTCACAGAGCTCAGGCCTATTTGATAACTTCAATAACTACACACAATCAGCACATCTTGGCTGGTTTGACGTGTCAATGCAAAGTGCCTAAGAAAGTTCTGGCTAAGACAGTTAGGGATTTGCATAAGAATCCATCAGGAATCTATAGAAATATTTATCAAATGTAGATTGGAAAACAGGAGTCTGAAGTGAGTTCACCATAGGAATGGAAGCTTCTACCTCTACCTCTGATTGGGTTAAATATTTTTCCAATATATTTGGTGGTAAGTTTGGATAATCATATGTACCAGCAACCTTCCTGAATGGCAACTAGCCTCCGATAGTGAGATAAAGGCCCTTATTTCCTGCCTGAAATTAAGTAAAGCCAGTGGAGAAGATATACCATATTTGTCCGTGTATAAGACTAGGATTTTTCCTAAAAAATAATGTCCAAAATTTGGGGGCATCTTATACACAGATAGACCTTTCCCCATTTTCTTAAATCGGAGTCCCCAAAAATAGGGGGTGTCTTATACCTGGGGGCATCTTATAGACTGAAAAATATGGTAGTTGCAATTGAAAATGTTCAACCCCCATTGCAAATTGGGTTTATTATCAAAATTTACAGACTTTCAGCTGTTTGCAATGGGCAAACCAAACCAAACCAATTGAAAGTTACAATTTCAGTTGATTTTGGGGGAACCATTTGAAGCATCCATTGTGTTGAGCTATTTCAATTGCTTCTGTTTGATTTGCTCATTGCAAACAGCTGAAAGTCTGTAAATTTTGATAATAAACCTGATTTGGAATGGGGGTTGAATAACTTCAATTGCAACTGTATGCTTCCACCCGAGCTCTATAAGGAATACTTAGAATGGTGGGTGCCTATCCTAGCTGGCTTATTTAACATTGATTTTATTTATTTATTTATTTATTTATTTGCTTGTTTGTTTAAAGCTGCTCTTTAGCAGCTTACAAATCACCAAAAAAGAGAGAGAGAATCCTTGCCGTCAGGCTTGCAAGGCATGACACAATAGGAATATTGATTAGGAGGGACCAGGAGGAAATAAGCAAATGCAGGGTCAAGTTCTTAGTTGCAAGTTGGAATGGAAAACCTCAATAAGTATTAGACGAATTCATGGAAGATAAGGCTATCAGCAGCTACAAGCTATGATAGCTATGTTCTGTCTCTAGTGCTGTAGGCAGTGTATCTCTGAATACCTGTGCTTGGAATCACAGGAGGAGGGAATGCTGTTGCATGTCAATCCTGCTTGCAAGCCTCCCACAGGCATATGGTTGGCTGCTGTGAGAATAGGATGGACTAGATGAGCCACCGGCCAGAGAGGGCAGGCTCTGTTGTTCTTCACACAGAGCCTATTTCAATTGGAATCAGTACCCACAAGAGGCAGGGATGTCCACAGACTTTGATTGCTTTGAAAGAGCATGAGACAAATTCATGGAGGATGACACTGACCCAGATGGATCTGTTCCACTCCACAGCTGGAGGCGGTATGCTTTGGAATGGCAATGCTGGAAGCTGCAGGAGGGGAGGGTGCTGTTGAGCTCAGGCTGCACTTGTGAGCTTCCCGTGAGCATATGTGAGATGCTGGACTAGATGGGCCACTGGCCTGTTCTAGCAGTCGTTTCTTAAGTTAAAGGAGAGGAGGCCATTGCTGGTCTGACAGAGTAGTCCTATATCCCTTCTCTTCACTCCTCTGTTGCAGCCTGATACTCTAATGACCGCTGGCAGGTGACAATTGCGGGAGGGAGAAGACCAGCTTTTTAGCAGAACTAACATTGACCCTGTGTCTTCCTTTCTTCCTTCCAAAGTGGGATATCAAATCCAAACTCTTCTTCTTCCTTCCTTCCTTCCTTCCTTCCTTCCTTCCTTCCTCTGATGCAGCTTGATGCAGTGGCTGCTATTAGCCACCCCTGATCTAAGGCAAGAGCCCTCAACCTTGTCACTCCAGATATACCTTTAGCCCAAACATTGTTGTTGTTGCTGTTGTTGTTGTTAAATTTCAATATCACACTTCATCTGAAGATCCCAGGGCAGTTTACAATATAAAACATGTATTTAAAGACCCGCTTTTAAAGCTTACACTATATATTTTTATGGTGTTCCACATTGTTGATCTTAACCGTCTTTTTAATTTTTCCTGTAATATGCCAGACAATTATGAACTATTTTAATAAAATAAACAAGGTTGAGCCATGTAACTAGATATCTATACATACACAAATACTCTCTGTATTTATATGTAATCTTAACCATCTTTTGAATGTTTGTAAATACCTGTTTTTTTAATCGAGAATTTCTAAGTTTTACGGTAATTTATCTTGTTGGAAAATGCTTAGAGGCTTTCTTAAAATTAAACAGCATATACATTATGTTAAAATAAAACAAACAAAAGTGGTGGCAGTGCTGCTGCTGTGGCCCACTTTAGGTCATGCCAGGAATCGCCAGCATGAATCAGAGGCCCTCCAGATGTTGGGCTCCAACTCCCATCAGCACCAGCATTTTTCAGGCTTGATGGGAGTTGCAGCCCAGCCCTGCAACATCTGGAGGGCCACAGGCTCCCAGCCACTGTGGCAGCGAGTGACCCTCCCATCCTTCCTGCGTAAAGTTATATTTCGGGGAAAGAATGTTACCGCCATGGTGAGAGTGCCCCTGAGAGAGAATAAATCTCCTTTCTCACTCTGTAAAGAGAACAAACAGTACATCTGTTCCTGACCAGTGATCCCTGTTTCCCCTCGTGCATACACACACACACACACACACACACACACACACACAGAGTCCTGTGAGGAAAAGCAGTGGTTCTGTATGTCTGAACTGGCACATCATGAGCTACACCGGAAGAGAGGAAGAGAGAGATGGTCCTAGCCAGCTCTTGTTTAAAGCCTTTTAATGATGTGGGTCTGACTCTGCTGGGTTTTCTCACAGAAGCGTACAAAAGAGATGCTTGTTTTCCAGCGCTCGGTGGTGCTTGCCTTGCAAAATGCAGCTCGAGGCAATACTACTGTATTCCCACTTCCCTCACACCCCACACCCCACACCCCTCCTCCTTCTCCTCCATGCATTTCCATTTCCAGAACTGTGATTCTTCAGGGAGCCAATTTTCATACTGCTAACTGATGGATGGTTTACATGAACTGTTGAGAATACACACAGCTTGACTAAGCACATCTCTTGATTTCAGGACATCTTTTAGGTTAAAAAAACAACAACCCACACCCTCTGTTTTTCATGTGCAAGGTTTTCTAGCAAGGTTACTTGTCACCACAAGGGCAGTGGGAAGATGATGCCTCTGGGCTATTTGTTAAGCAAAATCAGCTCTCCAAACCCTCTTCTGTGCGAAGGAGGAAGGCCTGGAAACCAGCTGAAACCATTGGGGAGAGGGGGAGTCACAACATTCCCCTCCAAGAACAAGAAGGATTCCTGAGGGTGAAGATGCTTGTTTGTTGAGCAAATGTTTAGCTTCGAGTTAGAAACATTCGTGTCAAAACAACAATCGTGTGGCATCAGCAACAAATTTATTATAGTATAAGCTTTTAAGGACTAGGGTCTGTTTCATCAGATGCTTGATAAATGTTGAATATGGCCATGAGCTTTAATCTAGGGTTCACCTTATCACTGATTTTGATTACTTTTTGAATATCTTAAATGGTTTTTTTCTGTTTCATTTTTACTGATAATTTTATTGTTTTATTCTTTTTGTAAACCGCTTTGATCTAGCCTGGTTTTATTACAACCAATTGGGAAATAAATATTTTTTGGGAAATAAATGTTATCTGCCTAAGTTGGCAGGTATATATACATATATCCACAGGAGGGGGGGAGAGTGGAATAAACTGCAAAAATTGCAGACTGTAACAACCGTATTAGAGCATAAATGTATGTAAAACAATTACAGCGACCAATCCCATATCAGTGACTGTGATAGCACATACATTCTAGTGTTGGTAAGCTATTTAACAACAGTAGTGGGTTAAAAACCCATTATCTCAATTCAGGCTGCAAGTAATAGATTTGAACTTGCTGTTCCCAGAGGGGCAGCTATCTTAGGGTGCAAGCTCATTGATATCTCAGTTTATTGCACCAAGCTTTAGGGTTGGGGGAGTTTGGATATGGTGGTCTCCTTTCACCCCACCTAGAACAGCTCTGCCAGGCTAAAGTCACTCCACTGGCACTGAGTTCCCCATTCCGCCTGCTGGTAGTAAAAGTGGTAGCAGCCTGCAGAAAACCCAGAAATGGAACATTCTGAGCAGTGTTCGAAATTCCCCAGCTGCCAGGCGCGTTTTGCGTGGGTCCAGTTGCGCTCATGTGGAGATCTCTGGATGCCAGGTTGGCAACTGACATCTCCATCTGTCTGGCCCCTCCAGCTTTCTTAAGTTGGTAAGAAGAAGAACTTATTTCCTGCATTTATATCCCACCTTTCCTCCAAGTAATACATGGTTCACACACACCCCTCAGTTAATCCCTATGATGACCCTGTGAGGTTGGTTAAGAGGTTGTGACTGGCCCAAGGTCACCCAGTGAGCTTCATGACTGAGTGGGGATTTGAACCCTGATCTCCCAGGTCCTAGTCCTGTTACTCTGCAAAAGGGATTTTAGTTCACCCCAGGTCTCCAGGCCAAATGAAGACATACAGCACATGGAAGGAACTAATTTTTATTCATGAATCTGCATGAGCGGCCCAGAGGATCGCTCCAAAAAGCTGGGCTGAGAATACAAAATTCAAGACGCTTTTATAACTTCTGACTAACTCGTGAACGATCTCTTTCAAAGCAATATAACTGGGTAACAAAACGTGTGGACAGCTCATGCATACGTTTTCATTGGTTTGCAGAAACATGTTCTTATCTGCATGTGCAACACCATGGCAACAGGCAGTTTTAAGCAAAGTTTCATTTTCTACTGCCAGTCTTTGAGTCACTCTTTCTCTTCCTTTGAAGTTCTCCTGGTCTTCTTCTGAAGGCACTGCTGTTCTGTGCCAACAGATAAGGAAAGTGAGGAGGACCCTAGACGGCTTCTTTGCTAGCAAAACATTGAATTGCAGCTTCTATTCACAGATGGGGGTGCAGAGAGAAGAAAGCTTAAACTTTCAGGTTTAAAAGGACGAAATGTTCTCAATCCTTGTTTTACTTAAATGACAGAAATAATCTGATTGACACTGAGCATCTCTGGCTTTGGAATTTAACGGACATAGCATTAATTCTAGAAAACAAGTGCATTACATTACCTTAGCTAGCCAACATCAGAATTTAGACACTTCAAGGCTATTTGACCACTGCTTGCAGCTCACAGGTCACATGACACTCACAGCCACACGTCTGCCCGCAGATTTCTTACCTGGCAACCACAGTGCCTCACCCCTGCTTAAATTGGACATGGAATAAGCCTTTTGTAGCCCATAGAAAGCTTTTCTAAAACTTAATTGCAGTGCAGGTGCAATTTCAGGGGGGTTATAATGGAGGGAAGGTAATTGTGGCACTCATGTGGTGCCCATAACCATTCATCTGCTTTGCGCATGTGTCCACAGTCTCCCAAAGGTTGGCAACCCCTGGCTCTAGTTGCTCTCCCAGTGCTTAAAAGGCTGGAAGCAAAGTTTGGTGCCATCTGGGGTGGAAATAAATCAGGCTCTAGGTGTTTAGAGTAAGAAACAAAAGGGAAATCTGTGTTAAGATCGCTAGACTACAGTTTACCTACTCATGTCTGTGGCCTTTCAAGTCAGCAAGACAGAAGGTTAATTAATGCAGACACCGTGTTAATTAGATTACACATAGGCCTTGCTGGTGCGGGTTCCAGTTACAAAATGTTCCTCAAGGGACAAAGCAATAAATTAAATCGGTTATCTTTGGAAGTATAAACACTAGGAGTGAAGACATGCCCATATCCCCAGTGCCTTCTGGATAACAGGCATCGTTCTTTTTCACTATAGTTTTTAAAGGGCATAGCAGGGTTTTTAAAAAGAACTTCAAAATGCTGAAGGTGAAGTTTGACCCAGCAAACAAGTCACAATAAAACACTGGTTTGTGTAACATTGCCAGTCACCTTGAGCTTAAAAGCGTAAGAATCAGAAGACTCTGATGTCCTACAAAGGTAAAGAACTATATCTATATTGCAATAATTATTTCTAATTGTTGGGATATTTTGCCCGTGTGCAACTTCCTTTGCAAAATGACAACCCCCGCCCCCCAAAGAATAGAATTAAGTTTTTACTCATTTATATGTGTGGAGTATTGGCAGAAGATTAGGAGATAGGAGAGCATTATCAACTATGGTGTGGGTTATTTCTTGCATTGATGCTTCAGCCAATTTTCATATGAAAATTGCCAACAGCACAGCAGGCATTAGAAAGGCTAGTTGCCTAGTGCCTGAGTGCCTTGAATTGTATTGTGAGCTTTTGCATTAATCCTTTGGAGTAAGAGATTTGTTAACTAATTTTGCAGATTGAACTGCAATCCCTTGCAACATATATTTAGATTATACAGTCCAAAGAGTTTGAAAAGAATCAGAATGCCATCTCAACCCCACAATGAAGTGAGCCTCCAAAAGTAAACATAGTATTGTAAAGTAGACACATAACTTAGTACTGCTATCAAATTTAGTTACTTCCTCCTGCTGCTCTGTGTGTGTGTGTGTGTGTGTGTGTGTGTGAGAGAGAGAGAGAGAGAGAGAGAGAGAGAGAGAGAGAGAGAGATACATAAATACTACTGAAGAATACATAGCAATTTTCCCCCTCTGGACTCCAGGATACAAATGACTGAGCAGCAAATAATGCATGATATCTTCAATCTGATTGTACCCAAATATACATTTCTGTTATATAACTGAGTTTCCAAGGTATCTCCCATCCAGATATACTGAGGGCATCTGCTGGAACCTAAGATCTGTCAAAGCTGTCAAAGCTGGGTAAAGGTCATAGTCTCAAAATATTGGGGCACGGAATGATTAATCTTGATTTGGGGGTACCAAATAGAAAAAAGAGCATTAACAATGGATGTTCCATCTTGATTAGCATTGTGATAAAAAAAAAATCTCAGTTCCTAAGAGTATGTGGACTAATAGGCAGACGTTTTCCTGTTAAATCCTTAGTGCATCTTGAAATGTAGGTGCTCAACTTCCAAGCTTTGATTGCTGCGACCTGCAAAGCTTAGTAAGATTGTGGTCCTCCAGATCATTAAATCTGTGCCAGTATCTAAAGTAGGCTGAATCAATTCTGGCTGCAAACAGTAGAAGCCTCAGTTCAGCCCTGAGATGGGTAGATGCTGTCCCTGGGGAACGCCCCAGTGTTTGCCTCCTAAAGTTGGGTGACTGGCTATCAAACTTAGTTACTCTCCCCATATACACACACTTTGACCTTGTGTGAGTGAGAGAGTGTGTGTGATTGATAACCGGTTTGAGTTTTATTTGATTTGAGTTATTGAATTTATATGCAGCTTTTCATTCAAACAAATCCCAAAGTGGCTTACAAGCAATAAATAACGATTCCATACTAAAACAGAATACATCACTAATATACACATAAAACAATTAAAAAATCCAACAATTAACCAGACAATTACAATCTATAAAAAACTACTAATAAAGCAACAACTAAAAAATGATCTAAGCATCACAATTACAGAAGTCATTATATTATTAACATGGCATTTATAATCTATAGAACAATAAAAACAATAACAAATAACAGTGTTTAGATGATTATTTAGTTGTTAAGTTCATACACACACTCTCCATGCCCTGTGACTCATAATTGATCGTTCAGTTCATTAAAATACACATAAAATGCACTTAATGTCCATTGTTAAACCAGCATCTGGCTGAGAGTTCTCAGTTGGTGTCGTGGTGGAAACATTGGATGTTGACTTCGGGTTGCTTGCCCTGGCGTCCTTGATGAGGAACTCACCCACATCGCTCTTGGTAATCAGAAGGTGCATTCCAAGAAAGTCCAAGATGAGCTTGTCCCTCTAGAACAGCGAGTCACAGCTGAACTCGGTGTAGAAGCCAGCCAGCAGGTCCAGCAGCACTTTCACACTCAGGAAATGCTCGCTGTACCATGGCCCATCCACCAACAGCTGCTCCATCTTCTTCAGCTGCCCCTTGGCTAACATGGTGGTGGAGGAAGAGGACGGTGGAAGGAGGCAGTTCTTCACACAACATAGGCAGCTGCAATCCACCACTAGCATAGGCAGGTGAAGAAGAGGACAGGGAGCCTGCCCCTTTCATAACTATATGTAGTGTAGAAGAGGGTATTTCAGCAGGTGTTCAGCATTAAAGGTGCAGGAGCCCTGCTCCATTTTGTATCTGACCAATATAGGTGCAAACTCGAGATATGGTGGTGGCTACAAGGTTAGATGGCTTTAACAGAGGACTAGACCAATTCATGGAGGAGGGAGGGGATCTTTCTTCAGCTCTTAGTCACGGTGTCTAAACAGAATCTGTAGAAAGACTCCCAAACTTTGCGATCTTTTGAGGAGGCCTTTCTCTTGATCCCATCAGCTTCACAGACACATTTGATGATAACACAAGACAGGGCCTTCTCCATGACTGCTCCCAGATTGTGGAACTCAGTGGAAAGCTTGCCTGTGCTCCTTTCTTTTTTCTTTCTTTTTTACATCTTTTTTATTAAAGATTTCTTGGTTTACAAAAGTATGTGCAACGTCTCTTTTTTCAAGTTATGGCAATGTTTCTATTCTACTTAATGTATGTGTGGGGTTTTGTGTCAGCGTTGCTTGTGTGGGTTCTCTTCACTATTCATTTGTGTTCCTTTGGTGGTGAGAGAGGTTAGGGTTGGCCTAGGTTGTGGTCGTTTGTTTGTGACTGGCTGTGGTGAACTTTGTTTTTGTGTGTGAGTGGGGTGTGTGTGTGTTCTTGAATCAGGTTAGCCATATTGATTCATATGCTGTTGGTGGATTCTTGTCATTGTCTTGTTGGCCTGTGTATGTGATAAAGGGAAGCCATACCGGGGTGAAGGCATCTTCTTCTATTTATCCCTGTGTCAGTTTCAGTTTATTGGTTAGTTTTTCTAATAAGGCTGTTTCCCATAATATTTGATACCATTGGTCCATGCTGATTCCTGACAGGTCTCTCCAGTGTCTGGCTATGATGTTTCTCTCTCTTTTTTCCTTTTTGCCAGCAGTCAAATATTTCTTTTTTCATGCCAACCTTTGGCCTCTTACTGCCTGTTGTGGCAGAGTCTACTGAGGGCTGATGTTGTACATTCTCTCTCTGTCTCTCTTTTGCTTTTTAAAAATCAATCCCTCATCCCAGGGAACTCTGGGAATTGCAGCTCTGTGAGGGGAGTAGGGGGTCTCCTAACAACTCTCAGCAACCTTAAAAACTTCAGCTTCCAGAATACTTTGGGGGAAATCGTGGCAGTTTAAAGTTGTATCAAAGTGCTTTAAATGTAAGCATTTCATTTTCCCAACCATACACCCTCAGTTGCTTTGCAAAGTGTGTGTGTGTGAATTCATAATTTCACTTCAAGCAGAGCACCAGTTTCCTCTTTCCCTAAATTGTTCAAAATGCACACAGGAGTAAGGGGTAGGAGTGGGAGACAGAGAAGAACAACAACAACAACCTTAGCAAATGTGCTCCGGCAGCCTATTGTTCCAGCCAAGTGGAGAGAATAAAAGATAGTGTTCAGACATAGCCTATCCGCAGCAGCAACCAGGGACCTCTGATAAATTGATCAAGGGACTCATTTGACCCGAGGCTTGCCTGTTAGAGAACATTGTTATAGGCACGTTGTAATCACAAATGTAATAAAGAGTCTGCATTGTCCTAAGGAAAAGAAAAGGAACATGTTGTGTAGTTTGATTTTATTGTGGGAACTCAAATTACTGTCTGCTGACCTGGGGTCATCTGAAATAAGTTTTTAACCCCGAGGCAAAGCCCCAAAGTCAAGGAGCTTTCAGATGGTTCTTACCTGAACCTTTTGACAAAATTACTAGCTTGGATTGTTCGCTGAAAGAAGAGGTCATGAAAATATGAGGCCATTTTGGCAAATTATTTCAGCTGCAAAAGGGTAAAACCTTTTCCGCTGAGCCTAGGGTTATTGAGTTGTCTTGATATGGGAGAGAGAAGGGTGGCAATAGGAACATAGGAAGCTACTGAGTCAGAGGACTGGTCCGTGTATTGCCGACACTGGCTTCTCAGTAGCTTTCCAGGATTTGAGACTGGGGGCATTTACACCTGGAGGTGTCAGGGGTTGAATAGGGCCTTCAGCATGTGAAACAAGTGCTCTACCACTGAACTATGGTGCTTCCCCTAAAACCAAAATAGGATTCCATTCCTGGTGGTCTGTAATAAAGGACTGCTTTACGGACATAGGAATCTGATTTATACTGACAAAGACCAGAACGCCTACCGGGAGATGAAAGGGATTGTACACCTTCTGCATGTAAAGCGGATGTTCTACCACTGAACTACAGTTGTACCTCGGAAGTCAAACAGAATCCATTCTGGAAGTCTGTTCAATTTTCAAAACGTTTGGAAACCAAGGCGCGGCTTCTGATTGGCTGCAGGAAGCTCCTGGATGCCGCGAAAGCCTTGCGCACGTTCAGGTTTCAAAGAACGTTCGCAAATCAGAACGCTCACTTCCAGATTTGCGGCGTTCGTGAGCCAGAACGTACGAGTACCAAGGCATTCAAGAACCAAGGTACAACTGTATAGTCCTTTCCCCAGCTTGTAGATCTTGGGACTTCCAATTCAGCAGTTTTTTGGGTTTTGTTTTTTTCTTTAAAAAGACAGTTAAGAGACACAGAACACCCACACTAATGGGAATTTACAGTATCTGGGCCTGGAGAAATGGAAGGAGGCTGAGCTCCTTGGAATTGGAGTTCCAGTAAATAAAACTCTCTCGGAGGGTCTAATAATGCTTTTCTTTGCATATCGATTATTTGTTCTTATCCCCTCAAAGTAATTTGCTGTTAAATTAAAATTAAAAATATGGAAATCAGCAACAGACAAAAACTTGAATGCTTATCCAACTATATCTTTTAAAAAAAAGTCCTACCTACCCCACTTGAAGAATGAGTAAAACAAAGGCCTCGGACATAATCTATCTATCCTCCCAATCAACAACCACAAGCCTTGGTTACATAAGGATATGTTTGCCTGGCAGCTAAAAAGAGACATCGGTAGCACCAGATGTGCTTTCCTGGAGAAAATATTATACAAACAAAGGGCCACCACTGAAAAGGTCAACAAACCTCTGCACCTTCTTTGAAGGGGGCACATGAAGAAGGGCCTCAGATGATGAATGCAGCAGTGTCCATAATTTAAAAAAAATATTGAAAGAAACTATTGTCGTTTTTGTCAAGACCAGAGGCTTCCAGATGGGGAAATGGTTTGGCTGGAAAGACACTTGAGCATATAATTTGTGGTGTTCCTTCTTTAGTAACCTGTTCTCAGGAGGTTGCAGGGAAATGCCACTTCTAACCAGTCGAAGGAAAGCTCAGTTGCCACACAACCTTGAAACTGCTCCACCTGGCCACGCAGCCCTGAATCGTAAAACGGGCATTAAGCTGATTTGCTGTTTAGGAAGGGCTGCCTTGCCAAGGGATAACATTTTCAGCAGCTCAGTGGAGAATTAATGCCATCTTCCAGCCCAGCTGTGTTTGGCTTGGTGCTGCCTTTTTAAGTGGGTGCTTCTCTAGCAATAGCTTACTGACGATGATACAGAAAATTGCCAAAGGGGGAAAGGAGCTTCTCTGTGACTAGGGATGGAGGAGAAATTTGATCCCGTTCACGTTTAAAGAAGAAGCTGCCAAATTTCCACTTTCTGAAACATTACATGAACCAAACACAGAACCATCCTTTGAGATTCACACTTCTCTGAATTTTTGTGGTGCTTATACTAGGGTAGAGTGTACATAAAAATGCATGAATCTAACATATATGTCAGGAAATTACTTTGCAAAGATGTGTGTATCAGGAAAAAATAGCTGATGTGTTTTTATGAGAACTTTTTAAAATAAAATTGCAAACTACTGTGGAAATGGAGGACTGGATTTAAGATTGGAAAAATAAGAAACTGAGAGAAACCAAGCTGACAGATTCAGCCTTCCATTTCTGTGACCCTTCACTAGGAGTGTGTTAAAAATTTGATCTGCCTCAGCTTCACATCTCCGGACAATAGGGTATCTTTTATTGATGAAGTCATCTTTCATCGGCTGTACCTGAGCTTGAGCTGTCCCACCTGAATGCTTTTCGAGATGATATTATGGTCACTTTGATTTGGCTAGCTGCCTGTTCTGTGAAATATTTCAGCCTTGCTTTCACAGGAGTTAGTTTTAAAACATCACATCTTTGCTTCCTGACCCAGCAAAGAGCTTGAAAGCAAATTCTAGTCAGTCGTAAAAGAACAAAGATGAAGGTTTTAAAATAAGCTTTAGCGGTCAAAGGATGTTGCTAATACATTTTATATTAAAACGTTTCATGGTTTATATTTCTGATGCAAGGCTTAAGTAACACCATGTGCTTGGATGTGTGTTGGCTGCAGTAGAGTTTTTCTTTTTAACCCCTTCCATATCGCATTCTCAGCCATTCCTAGTCACTTTAACGAAGGCTGAGTTCAGGGACAGCCAAAGTGACTACTGATTAACGGGGCATTATAGCTTAAGCAGGGTTTTCCAGACTTGGTTCTCCAACTGTTTTTGGACTACAGTTCCCATCATCCTTGACCACTGGTCCTGCTAGCTAGTGATGATGGGAGCTGTAGTCTATCAGCAGCTGGGGACCCAAGTTTTGGAAACCCTGGTCTTAATTATTCTGAATGGTGGTGGTGGTGGTTGTAAGCCCTTGTAGCCTTTTGGCAGATGTTAGCTATATTTAAGAATATGGTTAGACAAAATGCCCTTGCCTAGGGATTCCATTGCTTTTGTTGATAGCACCATTTATCTTCTCCATGGTGCCAGCATGGAGTTTTGATCCCTAGCTGGCTGCGGTCAGCCCTAGCCTTGAGTGTTGGCCACCCCTATTCTGTATGTAAGAGAGCTCCCAAGATACCTCAAGGAAGGGAATAAAGTTTCTGGAAAAGATTCTGCACTATTTCTGACGTTTTGATGGAATTAGAATCTGCGCCCCATATTCCCACACCGCAAAGCATTTGGGTAATCACCTCACTACCAAAAATCTTTAAGGCCACCTAAGACTAATGGTGCTATAACCTTGATTAAGGTTTTGAGGGCAACCTGGTGATAAAGTTTCCCTTTTCCTTTTTGCCACCCTTTACTCTGTCCAGTTCTGTGTGAACCAAGGGTGCAAGTGCTGGGTTTTTTCTTTCTCTCTTTCCAGACAGCTCTCTGCAAATGTTTGACCTTCTAGTTCCTGCATTCATTTTTATCTTGAGACCCTTTGTTGTTGTTTTTTATAATAATTTTTTATTCATTTTCCCAACATTTTTATACAATCAACTCATATTAACTCTCACATTCATCAATTTTTGACTTCCCTCAGCTTCTCTGCAAATCTTTCGTTAAAATTTCTATTGTTAATGCATTTCTGAACTTATTATTGCCTTTAACCATTCCTCTTCCTTTCTCCTACTTTCTTTTTTACAATATTTCTTAATTTTTCACAGAGACTCTTCAAAACCAACAAGCGTTGTCTGTGCTTCACATATGCTTTTCAGATAATCTGTAAATTTCCCCCAGTCCTCAATAAACTTTTGGTCTTTCTGATATCAAATCTTCCCAGTCAATTTATCCAGTTCCGCATATTCAGTCAGTTTCATTCTCCATTCTTCCACAGTTGGAATTTCTTCCTGCTTCCATCTTTGCGCCAGAAGTATTCTTGCAGCTGTTACAGCGTATTGGAAAAGTTTACAATCTTTTCTATTAATTTCATTACCTACCAATCCTAGTAAGAAAGCTTCTGGTTTTCTAACAAATGTATATCTCAACATCTTTTTCAATTCCTTATATATCATTTCCCAGAAGCCTTTCACCTTTTTGCATTCCCACCACATATGATAGAAAGTTCCTTCTTTTTCTTTACATTTCCAACACTTGTTACATGTTTTATACATTTTAGCTAATTTAACTGGCGTTATGTACCATCTATATACCATTTTCATTACATTTTCTTTCAACGCGGTACACGCCGTAAATTTCATAATTTCGTCCAATCATCATATTGTATATTATAACCAAAGTCTCTAGTCCAATGTATCATTACTGATTTCACCTCTTCATCTTTTGTATGCCATTCCAACAACATATCTTGAGACCCTTTGATCAGTTCAGCGAAGCACTACAGACAAAGTTCTCTGAGCTTCCTCTCTTGCAACAACTACATTCAGTCATTTAGATTTGCTTTGTGTTCTTCCTGGCAGTACTCTGTGTTCTACAACTGTGCTGCCTTATCTGCCAATACCGAAACACATATCAATATGCAGACTTACACCTGGCAAAGGAACAAAACCGTTGTGGCTCCGTTTGTGTATGCTTTGCTGCTGCCGCCGCCTTGCAAAGTGTTCAGGGTTCTCCATACTGGCTTAAGTGACTATTTGCAGCACGAAATGCAAGCAGGAAGAGGCATTTGAGCTATGACTGGAAGAGTAGGGAAATCAAAACGTTGCTTTGAGAGCTCTAAAATGGAATCGTGTGGGTGCTGTTTGCTGGGTGGGAGTGGGGGTGGGGTGAATGACAATAACATAAGGAATCGCACTGAAAGCAAAACTCTACCAAGATGCCCCAAGGGGGGGGAACATCCACTCTATATAAAGAATAATTCCTATGGGACAGAGACCAAAGGAAGAACATGTTCCTTTGGGGAAAGCATTCTGTTAAAGCATCTAAAGAGAAAATGAAAATCACAATTCTCCCTCTCCCTCTCTCCCTCTCGGCAGTAACAATTCATTGTGGCAAGATTCAACCAATAAATAAATGCACCCATTCTGGGTGCGTGATAATTCAGGAAGGATGCCAATGTACGCAGAGAGACCTGAGCTAGTGGAGGCTGGTCCATTAGGGCAAATGAGGCACTGCCCCACCAGCCTTACAACCAGTCCAGGGGGTGGCATTGCCTGTCTACTCCCTCCTGCTTAGTCTCAGAGTTGCCTCTTGTAGAGCTCATCAGGGAGGAGGATGGGGACAAAAATGAGAATCAGATGACTCTGCTTGTCATTCGCTCTGTTGCCACCTTACTGTTGGGCTCCTCACATTCCAGCCAGCAACTGACCATAACTCAATGGCAAACGTCCACAGGTTCTGGTGTTATGGGGGATGGAGAAAAGCTTTTCTCTAGCCTCCTTCTCCATGCCATGCATAATTGTAATACACTTCTTCCAGCATGTCACTCCTTGCCCACCTAAGCTGAAAAGCCCCCGATGTTGTAACTTCTCCTCATAGGGAAGTTTCTCCACACTCTTATTCCTGTTGGGTGCCCTTTGCTGAACCTTTTCCAGTTCTACAATATCTTTTTGGAGGTAAGGTGGACCAGAACTGTACACAGTACAGTGGTACCTCGGGTTAAGAACTTAATTCGTTCTGGAGGTCCGTTCTTAACCTGAAACTGTTCTTAACCTGAAGCACCACTTTAGCTAATGGGGCCTCCCGCTGCCACTGCACGATTTCTGTTCCCATCCTGAAGCAAAGTTCTTAACCTGAGGTACTATTTCTGGGTTAGCAGAGTCTGTCACCTGAAGCGTCTGTAACCTGAAGCATCTGTAACCCAAGGTACCACTGTATCTCCAAATGCGGTTGTAGTATTCCATAAGAGCATGAGAAGAACCTACTAGATCATGCTAATGGCCCATCTAGTCCAGCATCCTGTTCTCACAGTGGCCAACGAGATCTGCCTGTGGGGAATCTGAGAGCAGGACCCCTGAGCACAAGAGCACCCTCTCCTGCAGTTTCCATCAACAGACATTCAGAACCATTGCTGCCTCCAACTGTGGAGGCAGAGAACAACAGCCTTCATGGCTAGTAGCCATTGATAGCCTTATCCTCCCAGAATTTGCTTAATCCTCTTTCAAAGGTACCTAAAGACAGGCTGTAGAAGTAAGGTGGATGTGTTTTTATCCTAGCACACTGGGTGCTCTGGTTTCTGTTTGCTCCTCTGCCAAAAGCTTTCTGGGTTGTTTTTTAAATGGGTTCTTATTTTTAATTAAAGGAGATTAAATTCTCATTTGGCTGGTTCATTTAGATTGTTTTATTCTAGTTTTATATCCACCTTATTCCAGCATGAGTTACACTAAACCACACTAAACCTCTTTTAATCCAGTGGGTTTAACAAATTGGGTTAAAAAGGGTTGTTGTTGTTTTTTAAAACAGTGCTGCTTAATTGTTCTGCTTTTTTTTTTTTTTTTTTGCCTCCTGGAGTCCTCTGTGTTGCATCCATTGCTAGTGCTACTCAGAGTAGGCCCAATGAAAATAATGGGAATGATTAATTTCAGAGTTTGTATTCTAACATAGCAGGATATGGCTTTGTCTTCTTAGAAAACCTTTGTGGACTATAATTTATCAGATGCATGAAGTGTTATTCTTGGAGGGGGGTTAGGCAGAGATGGATAGATGTATGGATAGATAGAGGAGAGGGAGTTGTAAACAGTGAGGTTGGAAGAAAATGAAATGCAGAAAATTACATGATTAACAGTGGCCATTCATGAAAAAAGTTGTTGGTAATGCATACATCTTGGGGATGCGGGTGGCGCTGTGGGTTAAACCACAGAGCCTAGGACTTGCTGATCAGAAGGTCGGCGGTTCAAATCCCCACGACGGGATGAGCTCCCGTTGCTCGGTCCCTGCTCCTGCCAACCTAGCAGTTTGAAAGCACGTCAAAGTGCAAGTAGATAAATACGTACCGCTGCGGCGGGAAGGTAAACGGCGTTTCCGTGTGCTGCTCTGGTTCACCAGAAGTGGCTTAGTCATGCTGGCCACATGACCTGGAAGCTGTATGCCGGCTCCCTCAGCCAATAAAGCGAGATGAGCGCCGCAACCCCAGTCAGCCACGACTGGACCTAATGGTCAGGGGTCCCTTTACCTTTTTAATGCATACATCTTGGTATTGGTAATCCAGTTAACACATGGAGGGCAATAAAACTCAGTTGTCCTAATTCAGTCCACAAGCGATAGCACTGAACCTCTTGATGTGCTGTAACTGAGCAGTTTCACATTGCAGTTTCCCTTTGCAAAGGCCACCTTAAAGTCAGTTCCAGACAGTCCCAGGAGGTTGAAATGTCCACACACACACCATTTTTATTGTTGTTGTTGCCATTTCTGATATCAAATTTTTGTCCTTTTATTATTTTGCACAGAGACTCGCCTGCTGGGCCTATATAGAGTGCAGAAAGACATTGCTGGTAGATAATGGCATAAGTTAGACTGAGCAAGTGAATGAATCCCTGGCATTGTGGATGCTGCTAGGCCCTATCCCATGGGTATATCTGGCCCAATCGCCTTCTAAATCCGGCCCGCGGACAGTCCGGGAATCAGCGTATTTTTACATGAGTAGAATGTGTGCTTTTATTTAAAATGCATCTCTGGGTTATTTGTGGGGCATAGGAATTCGTTCATCCCCCCCTCCAAAAAAAAATATATAGTCCAGCTCCCCACAAGTTCTGGGGGACAGTGGACCGGCCCCCTGCTGAAAAAGTTTGCTGACCCCTGCATACTAATGCTGTCAAAGTACAAACAAGGACAGAGATGGTGTCAGCTTCCATTGGCCTCTGGCCATAGCTCAGTAGTAGAACGTCTGCTTTCTATGCAGTAGGTCCCAGGTTTAGACCCCAGCATCTCCAGGTAAGACTGGAAGGGATTTCATGTGTGGAATCCTGGACAGCTGCTACCAGTCAGTGTAGACAGTATTGAGCTAGATGGACCGACGGTCTGACTCAGTTTAAGGCAGCTCCCTATTATATTCCTGTGGTCTGTTGATGGCGGCAAGTAGCATTAGGATGGGGAAACTCTCTGTAATCAATTACAGGGCTGCCACCCAAGGCCTCTGGGAGGGAAGAGTCATTGTCCAAGATCAATTGTAGGCTATTGATTATTGTTTTAAATGGGATGAGTAGCAATGATTAATCCTGGTTAATAATAAGAATGAATTATTGTTTTGAATTTCAGCGCTAATATTAATTCTAATTCCAATAATAATTCTAATAATAATAATATTATCCTATAAGTGTTGCTGTATAGAGTACAAGGGAACAAGATCTCTGCCTCAATGAGCTTACAATATAAAATTTGGCATGGTGAGTGGGAAGAGAAATGGGGCACCCCACTCACGTTTGTAGGGATTAACTGTGTGGTTCCTTTCTTTACCAATGTTTATCTTTAAATTTATTACATTTTTAATTACATTTATATTCCACCACCTTGCCCTATATATGCCCACTCAACCACTTTGGTCTGCAGAATACGTTGCTCTTTTCTTGCAAATCTTAATGGAGTGACCTGGGAGCGTCTCCCATGCTCCCTTAGTAATGCATCACAATTTACCACCATTAAAAAGAGGTCTATTGCAGGGAACTTAAAGTGGTAAATACCACAAAAGACATACTTTTTTTTATAGCCAGATGTAACCTGGTTTTCTTCTTCTGAGGGACTCATGCCTGCTTCTCTTGAGGCAGGATCAATTGTTCCTTTCCCCCTCTTTTCTTTCCTCTGCCTTTGTGCTCCATTCTACTCATTGCCGTGTTCCTGGAGAAGGGAGGGGGGAATTGGTTAACTGTAATAAAAGCAAGAAACACTTGATTCGCTGTGTGCAATAAATTATCCACTCCTTACCCATTGAAACCTCTTTCTGGGGAAACTTGAATCTTCTTGCTGCAGATATATAGATGTTATTTGACTGGATGGGGTTTGGAAAGGAATCCTAGCTATTAAGCAACGTATTGAAAATGATTCCACCTTGCCTATTGTGGAATTGAAGGAAAGGTTCAGACTCAAAAGCTAAGAGGCAATTAGCTCAAGTTCATGAGCTCACAATTTTCTGGCCTTTTATCTAAACTGCCTCCACTTAAAGCCACTGGCAGCATGGGAAGGACGATAGATGGGCCCAAGCAATATAGTGATGCTAGCCCAGAAAGTGTTATAAATTGTAAGGTGCAGATGTGGCAAATTTAACAGTTTCCTATCATGATCATGGGTTCGTCGTGGTGCGTGGTGTGTGTTTATTCCTCTCTCAAGTGTACTTTAAGAAGAAGTGGACAGTTTATAGAGACGGTGTGTCCCAGTGCTTATAAGCACAGAGCTATCAGCTGGAGGTCGTCTCTTCCTGCTATCTTGTAGCTGTCGCCTTTAATGGAACATCCAAGTAGATTAAAAGCAGCAGCAACCGCCAGTCAGAATCCAGCTGAGACAGACGAGGAGGCAGTCTCAAGGAGGGGAAAAGCCAGTGCAGGCTAGCTCTTAAAGGCAAATGGAAAACTGCCCCACCAACCACAGTCTGCCCTCAACCATCCCCATTGGCCTCACTTCTTACTTACAACCATCACTAGCTTCCTTCTCCTCAGTAGAACTCAGCAAGCAGGATGATGGGGGCAAAACCAGAATGCACTGGTTCTGCCTGTCATTAGGTCTGGGTCCACCTATTCTTTGGGCTCCTAGTATTCTGCCCCAGTAGTCACAGTGGGCCTCAGCCACCCCTAGGAAGAGCTGAGCTTTATTTTGATGGTGGGACATGTGTCTTCCTAAGATCTGCCAGGAGATGGTGAGGGGCCTGGAGACCAAGTCCACTAAGGAAGGGTTGAGGAAATTGGATATGTGACTTAAGAGGCAATACAAGTGCCATCTTCAAATATTTGTAAGGCTGTCACATAGATGATGAAGTGTTTTCTGTTGCCCCATACAGGAACATAGGAAACTGCCTTATACTGTGTCAGAACATTGGCCATCTAGCTCAGTATTGTCCACATTGACTGGCAGCAGCTCTCCCGGGTTCAGACAGGGGACATTCCCAGTCCTGCTTAGAGATGCCAGTGATGGGACCTTCTGCATGCAAAGCAGATGCTGTACCACTCAGCTATGCCCTATCTGGAGAGTGAGATTTGAATGAACGGGTTCACATTAAAAGAGAGTGGAACTTTGATTAAACTTCAGGAAGAACCTCTCGTTTATTAAAGCTTTTAAAAGGAAGGCCATGGATGAGAGATGCTGTTGCAATGGACTTGCTCCATTGCCAGGAGTCAGAAGTAGGTGATTGTGATTCTGTGCTTTATGATTAAGTGTGGGCATCTTCCACAGCTGTTCAGAAAGGGGGACAGTGGTGCTCTCCCTTCTGGCCAGTGAAGGCCTACATCTACATCAAGAAGGAGCTCACATCACCAAAAAGAAGGTCTTCTCTGGCCTTTGAAAATGCCAGTCATATGCAGGACACTTCCATTTGACCTTTTTATTGAGCATTCTTTAGATGACTTGGCTACATAAAGGATAGTTGTTCCAGTTTGTTTGCAGGGAAGTTTGATGATAAAGTCACTTTCCTTATTGCAAAAAGTCTTGGGGAAGCAGGTTTGTTGCATCAGAACTCTCAATCGGCTTTAATTTCACAACCTGAATTTGCTGGTATGTGATTGAATCTTACCTGAAAATAATGACAGTCTGGAAGCTCCCCCAGTTTCAGAAAAGTATCATTAAATAAATAAAGCTTTCAGTCTGGGTGCTTCTCCTTGGGTGCTTCAGAATTGCCAAGTTTGGACCTTCCTACTAAAACTGTCCTTTTTTCATGTCATCTGCTTTGACAATGTCATCTTACCCTTCTTAGAATAACTGTTCTAAGAAGTGTGACTGCGGTAAATGCAAATAGATAGGTATGGATATAGATATAGATGTGGATAATATTACATTTATATCCCCCAAGGAAGCTCAGGTTGGCAATCCTGTGATGTAGGTTAAATTGGCCCAAGGTCACTCAGTCAACTTCATTTGTGGTCCTATAACCTGCGAGGCACTTTCCCCTGCAGGAGAGTTTATGGAGCAGGAGAAAGCTGATCATGGGAGGGCGTGGTGATGGCATTGGATAACACCTTACCTATCAGAGCAGGTGTGCTTTGTTTTTGCATCCTGCATATTGAAGTGATAGCCTCTCCTTTGCTTCTGAAGTGGGCATGTTTGGACTTGCCCACACCGCTAGCAGCCAAATCAGCAAATCAAGTTAAATATGGAAGGGGTGGGTGGGTGTGTATACCAGAACCCTTACTTAAAATATATGCAGCCAGGCTTAATGGGCCAGCTCTTTGCCTGCAGGCAACATGTTCAACCCCTCAGTTAACCACCACTTAGCATTCCCAACATGAGCAGGGTTTGTAATCCTTGACGTGTGATGAAATTCTTGGTACATCATCCACAACCTTGAGGGCTCCACAGTGTCACCTTTGTACACTTCCATGTTTCTCCTTTGAGCAAAAAAAAAAAAAAAAGCTTTGCAGACTTGTGACAGCAGCAACATGGGAAGTTGCTTTCTGCAGTCAGACCATTAGTCCATCCAGCACAATATTGCCATGGCTGTCCAGGATTCCTCATTCAGGGGTCTCTCACAGCTGCAGGTTATGGGAATCGAACCTGTCGGTTCTTTCATTTTCAATGGGAGGGGGAATCCAGCCATTCTCGCAGAGGACGATGGATGAATTTAATATGCAGGTGGGCTGCGTCTCATGCCCTTTCGTAGGGAGAGGAGACTTAGCGATCTAATAGGAGTTTGTTCTCTCTTAAGCTCTTGCCGCCCTGCTTCCTGCCAGAATAGATTTCTCTCTTTTGATGTTAGTCAAATGTTAACAAATCATTGAAGTCAGAAATAAGGAGGGAGAAGCAGAAGGCAAGGAAGATACCACTGCCGGCCTTAACACTATGCTTTGTGGATATATATATATATATATATATATATATATGACATCAACCCTCCTGCAGGCATGAATTAAAGATGAGAACTTAATAAAACTTGAACAGGGAAAAAGAGGGAGGAGAACCAAAATCTATAACATCTTCATTTCTGAGCAGACAGCACCACCTTTGCTTCGGCACAGTTTCCCTCTCTGTGCTTAAGAAAATCCTCGTGTGGTCTGCGAATCAAAAGTGCCCTCTGCTGGGTAATTCTGGGATGAAGGAATATTTCCAGAAAACATTTTCATTGTTGGCATCTGGAGTTGCTGAGGCTTTTTTTCCTGCCCCTCAGTGGAGAGTAGCTGGACTCTGTCCAGAATCCTCTCGTTGGTTTTGCCATTACGTGCCCAGTCGGCGGGTTAATACATAACCTATAAACTAGCATTGCTGTTGTTAGTGAATAAAAACAAAATCCCAGATCTAGCTTGAAAACGGAGGCAGTTTCGAAGCAGGGGAGGCTGGAACAATAGGAGGAATGGAGCAGGTGCCATAACAAACTGCACCAGCCCCACTTGCCTGCCTTTTACTTACAGACAGTCCAGGGGGTGTCACTGGCTGTCAAATTCCTCCTCCTTAGTCTCAGTGTAGCCTTTGCAAAACTCAGAAGGGAAGGAGAGTGGAGCTGAATCTAGGATCAGTTGCCTCCATCTGCCCTAAGCTCTGACTCCACCTGCCGCTGATGATGATGATTTATTACATTTCTATACTGCCCTTCATCCGAGGATCACAGGGCGGTTTAAAATATAAAAACACAAAAATACATACCGTGGTAACAAATAATACCCCCCAAACACAGTTTAAAAGGCCGTATATTATTTAATTAGCTAAAGGCCTGGGAGACAAGGAATGTTTTTGCCTAGCACCTAAAGATGTGTAATGAAGGTGCCTGGTGCACCTTCCTGGGGAGAGCATTCCACAAGTGGGGAGCTACCGCAGAAAATGCCCATTCTCATGTCACCGCCCTCTAAACCTCTTCTGAAAGAGGCACACAAAGAAGGGCCTGCAATGATGATCGTAGGGTGCCCCTACTGTTGGTCTTCCTGCCTTCACCAACCACCACTGCTGAAATGTGTTCTGAAGAGGAGGTCACACAAGAGGTTGCATAACGAAAACGACTTTAATACAAAACGGTTTGTGGAAGGAAAAACCATGCGTTAAGCTGCTGCCTTGAACACAGAACAGAAACTATAAAAGCTTGGTGCCTGAGCACTGACTCAGGCAGTTCCTGGTTTGGAAAAACCAGGAGGGCTTATACACTACAGTAGCCAAGATTGCAAAGGACTGAACTGTTGCAGAATGGTAGAAATCTTAGGATGATTGAGAGGACCTGTTCATTTTGTAATAGCTAATTACGTATCTCACCTATAATATAAGAACTCTTGAGTTTGGGCCTTCTCCATCACCATTTCCTAGTCTGCTGCATCCCTGCTGCCTTTCATGAATTGGATCACAATCAGGAATCTAAAGCAGCCTGCACAGAACATACCTCCCTTTTCAAACCATCAGTGCCTCCAGATCTGGAACTATCTTCCCTTTGATATTAGGAAAGAAACTACCTCCCCCCCCCCCCTTTGGGCACTGCCTAAGTTGGTAGTTCTTGGTCATTCACTTGGTAGTTCTTAAATGGTTCAGTTGCAGCTCTTAGTTCATTCTGCAATTGGGCTAAGTATGATTTTGTTATTGCCATTTTTTATTTTTTAAAAAAACATGTTTTAATATGCCTTTGTTGCTCCCTGCCCTGTAAACTGAGGATAAGGAACAGCTTATAAATACTTTGAAATAAATTTTGAAAGACTCCCTAAAGGAAATATTAGTGAGGCCCCAATATACCGCATGTTCCTTCCTCGGAAGAAGGGGAGGAACGTGTGAACAAGAAGTTTGTGAGCTCCCCATAAGCATCTGGTTGGCCACTGTGAGAGCAGTGGCTGAAATAGCTCAGCTGGGAGAGCATTTGACAGATGATCTAAAGGTCCCTGTTTCGATCTTGGCTTTCAGCAAATCCTTTAAGGGGAGAGATGTAGCTCAGTGGTAGAGCACTTGCTTTGCATGTAGGAGGTCTCTGGTTCAATCCTCAGCATCTCCAGATAACTCTAGGACTGTTGCCTTGTCTGAAACCCTGGAGAGTCACCGCCGGTCAGTGTACACAACACTGAACTGGATGGTCTGACTAGGTGTAAGGCAGCTTCCTGCAGTGGCAGACTTTCGAACCTCAAATTTCAGTGGTGCCCTGTGTGATGCTAAAATTCGGCACACTCCCATCTCTCTCACTCCATTCTATGGCATTATTGTGGTGCTCCCTGCAGTGCGGCCAAACCAGTCGCACTACCCTAAAACCGCCTTTTCTTCCCGTGTTCCTAATGGGAGACTGGGCTCGATGGGCCTCTGACCCGATCCAGCAGCAATGCTCTTCTTAGGATCCTAAAATGTCTGCATTCTGAGCATGTCCTGAGTACCGTATTTTTTGCTCTATAAGACTCACTTTTTCCCTCCTAAAAAGTAAGGGGAAATGTGTGTGTGTCTTATGGAGCGAATGCAGGCTGCACAGCTATCCCAGAAGCCAGAAGAGCAAGAGGGATCGCTGCTTTCACTGCGCAGCGATCCCTCTTGCTGTTCTGGCTTCTGGGATTCAGAATATTTTTTTTCTTGTTTTCCTCCTCCAAAAACTAGGTGCGTCTTATGGTCTGGTGCGTCTTATCGAGCAAAAAATACGGTATGTGTTCAGTTCAGACAGTCAGAATACTGTCTGCCTCTAACACAGAGAGTTCTCTGCTTGGTTCCTCCCTAAGCCTGGAAGCAGTGCAGTCCAAATACGGCTTATTTCCTACCAAACTTTAATCCGTTTAGACCTTCTCCTCCTCTCCAGTGTCTGAATGCTGCATTCCTAATGGGTTTTGTACTCTTAGGAACAGGCCTAATCGATTTCAAGTCAAGCTAATATAATTCCACCTCCGTTCCAGGTCTAACAGCAGAGGAGAAGTGCAATCTTGGGGGTTTTTTGTTTTTTTAAAAAAGAGGAAACACCCAAGCCTCTGGCCAGATTGAAAAAAAAAGGGGGGGGGAGCTTTTTTGAAAAAGCACTGTTCGGTGCATTAGCAAGCAAGCATCATCCAGCGGCGGTGGCATTGTTTTCAATGGGATTGGGTTTTAGCTGTGAGCTAGGCTAGAATAACAGACTAATATTGTACACAAGGTTTGGTGACTGGGAGTGGCCACCGAGACCATATAGCACCGGTCCTGAAAGACCTACACTGGCTCCCAGTACATTTCCGAGCACAATTCAAAGTGTTGGTGCTGACCTTTAAAGCCCTAAACGGCCTCGGACCAGTATACCTGAAGGAGCATCTCTACCTCCATCGTTCTGTCCGGACACTGAGGTCCAGCTCCAAGGGTCTTCTGGCGGTTCCCTCACCGCAAGAAGTGAGGTTACAGGGAACCAGCCAGAGGGCCTTCTCAGTAGTGGCACCCACCCTGTGGAACGCCCTCCCATCAGATGTCAAGGCAATAAGCAACTATCTGACTTTCAGAAGACATCTGAAGGTGGCACTGTTTAGGGAAGTTTTTGATGTTTGAGGTTTTATTGTGTTTTTAATATCCTGTTGGAAGCAGCCCAGTGTGGCTGAGGATGCCCGGCCAGATGGGTGGGGTATAAGTAATAAATTATTGTTGTTGTTGGGTGGGGTATAAGTAATAAATTGTTGTTGTTGTTGTTGTTTGCACCTGCAGCATGTAGAGTTGGGGGTGGGTTGCAGCTAGCTAATGACAAGGTTCCAGAGCAAACTTCATCCTCAGTTAAAGTTTTCATCTGCATCCAATATAGGGTGTTAGTTAAAGTCACTTACAGGTATATGTGTCATGTTGGCGAAACGCTTTGCAGTAACTTTCTACTAGCACAGAATTCTTGTGTTGAATTCTTCTGTCCTGCAGCATTTAGGCATGAGTCTTGCGTTGCAGGGGGTTGGACTAGAGTCCCTTCCAACTTCCAAGTCTACAATTCTATGAACATTCAAACTTAGCCATCTAGCACAAGAGTGGACGGAGAACATTGGCTATAGCACATTGTTTTTCATTCTGTTCGCCCCCCCCCCCAAAAAGGCAGTTTTCCTTCTCAGTTGCACAAAAATATCAACAGCAGATGAAGTGCTGGAGTGAGGCCATAACTCAGAGGCAGAAGGCCTCAGATTCAGTGCCCAGGCGGGTAGGCGGTAGCAAGTCTTACCTGACTTTCTGCCATGGGCATCGTTGTGGCATACTGGGAGGGGGAGCGGGAGGGATGAGGGAGTGACGAGGTCATTGCAGTGTAAACACACTGGGGGAGCCAATCAGATGGCCTGTATGGTTCTCTCCCTCTCCATTTTATCTTTCCAACAGCCCTGCGACGTAGGTTAGGCAGGGAGACGGTGACTGATCACCTAGCAAGCCTCATGTTGAATGGGGATTTGAACCCTGGTCTCCCACATCCTCTTCCAACAATTTCACCTCTACACCATACTGGCTACATGGAAGCAGCAGCTATGATGGAGAAGCTTGGTGGGGGTTTTCCTGCAGTGTGGAAGAGGAGAGTTGGGGGCAGGAGCAGAGAATGGGTGGTGTTGGTGAGAAGGGGAATGCAACTGCAGGTGACTGTGCACAGTGATAGACTCTTTTTTATGCAAAAAAGAAAAGAAATAGAAATAAATATTTTTGGACACACCAAATGATGAAGGATGTGAATATTTGCAGTGCAGTTTTGATAGTAACTGCAGCTTTGGCTTTCATGGGCAATGGATTGCATTCGTGTCAAGGCAACACAGCCTGACCTGGGTGGCTCTGTGGGTACTGCAGAGGTGCTGTGGGTTTGGAGCAAAGGTCAAATTACCACTTCCTCTTTTCTTCACTTTCCCAGCAGATTTGTGTGTGTGTTTTTGTGTGTGTGTGCTTCAGCCAGCATTAGTCCAGTGGGAGCAATGGCAACTAGAGACATTTCAGTTGATTGAATAAGATGGAGAAATTTTGAGTAGACAGCCGCTTGTTCACTTACAGAGTCTTCCTCTTTTTTGTCACAGCTGATGGGGTGTTGCCTTGTTTGATTCTGCAAATTGTCCTCATATTCCTCAGTGAGGTAATGTTTCATTTTTAGTTAACAGAATGCATTTTTGAAAACTACTTGTTTTTGTTTAGAGAAGTGAAACAGAGCCACATACTTTTCATCCATCCCCTCCCTCTTTGGTTTTCGGAAAAGTTCAATTCATTTTATTCCTCTGTAAGAAGATTCCAGATATAAACAGGAACGTGTGTTCATTTACTAGCATGTTTTACTCAAGGAGGAAAGCATATTGGCTTTCCCCCTCTGTTCTGTTCTTGCCAACAAAGAATACTTGGTCTTTCTGAATGAATTAAACTCTGTGGGACTTAATTAAATTTATCCAAGATTCCTAAAGGAGCTGCATAAACCACTCACTAGGTTCCCATGACCCATTGGCTTATCTTATCCACCATTTCAGCATGGCAATTCTATTGATTGAGGGGTGGTTGTACATTACTACTCCTATGTACTAACATTTTCTTTAATTTGCTTTTTCAGACCTGTATGAAATTCTTTAAATGTATAGTGTCTGCTGACAGGCTTACAGTCTAATTGGCATGATATAAAAGGAAGAAGGGAGGGGGAAAGAAGGGGAGAAGAAAAACAATAACTTTTTTCATAGTGACATCAGTTTTTCTTTGCCTTTGGCAGTAGGTACCTGCCAATCCTAGTGAATTGAGCCATGCAATACATAGGAGCTCAGTACCTTGTACTGAGCTAGACCATTGCTTCGTCTAGATCAGTATTTATTGTCTGTACCAATGGTTCTCCAAGCATGTCCTCCTGGAGCAGAAATGGCGTGGAACCCCTGAAGGATGCTCACAGACCACAATTTGGGAATTCGTGATCTTTACTGACTGGAAGCTCCTCTTCAGGGTTTCAGACAGAAGTCTTTTCCCAGCCGTACTTAGAAATCCCAGGGATTAAACCTGGTGTTTTGCATGTAAAGCAGCTGATGTACCAGCGAGCTACGACTTCTCTGCTACAGGCAAGTGGAATAGCTTCTAATAGATGACATTAATGGTATTGTTTATCATGGGGGTAGAGAAACTCTGGCTTCTTATATATTGTGGGATTCCATCTCCCATCAGGCCCAGCCAACATGGCTGATGGTCAGAGATGATGGGAGTTGTTGTCCAGCAATAGCTGGAAGATCAGAGGTTCCCACTACTGCCATAAGGAATATGAAGATCAAACAAGAAAATCAGAGAAGATAATGTGGTGTAGTGGTCTAAGTAGACCTGTGTTCAAATCCATGTGCAGCTGTGCAGCTCCCTGGTTTTCCATTCAGCCATCTTATGTATGCCATCTGGCATTCCATTGACGGAAGGTGAGATGTGATTGGGTGAAGGGGTGGTCCAAAAGATGCCTGAAGTGGTTCAATTCCAGAAACTAAGCAAGTCCAGACCTGGTCAGTATCTGGATGGCAGGTTGATTAGGAACCTCAGACTGCTAGCTCACCCCTGATGTTAGCAGGGCTGCTTTTTAAAAGGAACAATAACAAATTCTGGGACGTTGTTGGAAACAAAAATGGCGATGGGGAGCACCTTCCCCATTTATTATCAAGGAAGGCCCACAAGGCCTCGCATGAACCATAGCAGGTGGGGCACCAGGTGGCCCTTTGCCAAAGTACCCTTCATCCTAGCGATGTTCATGTTTGAATTCCTTCAAGATGGGCTTGGAGTCAACTAGGAGAAGTCCCATCAATATTGGCATTCCACCGTCTCTTGAAGGCACACCTGTTTAGACAAGCATTCCCCTGATCTGCTGACTTGAACCTCCATCTTTAATTGCTGTTTTAACATTTTTTATGTTTGTGTCGTATTAATCAGCTTTATTGTACATTTTAATTGTGAATGCTTTTTAATGTTTTGTTAAAATTGTTTTATAGAGTATAGTATAATTGATTGCAATTGACAGTACACACACACAAGCATACACACATGTGCAATTGACACATATATTCCAAATTCTGCTCTCTCCCCCCATGAATTTTGTGCAGCTGGAGTGTCCTTGCCTTA